GGCATAGATGACATTAGTCTCTTGCAAGGCATTTCCCTATGGTGTCAGAATTCTTTATAAGTACATTAGCAGTTTTCTTGCTTTTCTGTGGGAGCCAGGGAGCCTCCGGGGCTCACCCAGAAAATGACGTTTCATTACATTCAACGCTGGTTTTATGGAAATTGTGAACAGTATGATCATGTTATTGTCAGTAGAGGTCACATTTTTGTCAATGATGTCTTCCATGACTTTTTTTTTTGAGCTATTGAAAAGAAGTTCTTGTAGTGTTGGCCGTATCATCATAGCATGACTCTTCACCTTTTAATAATCTCTTCAATGTATCCATTAGATGCATTCACGTATAAACAAAATATCACTATTATTATTAAGTTTAGCATTATTTAATTCAATTAGAAGAGTTCCATATCTTGGGTCTCTTTATATACATAGAATGTTTGTATAGATACAGTTGTGCTTAGGAAATGTCACACACATCATAAAAAACTAGCACCCTCACATTAATAAGATTATTTCAAAAACATGTATCACAGGTGAATAAATAATCCTATAATTAAGTAGCTTAATTATGTGGCAAAGCGGAGTGGCCTTTGGCCTGCATTCTTAGTATACTGGAAGATAATCATCAAGCCTGGGTATCTTACCTGCAATTTTCAGTATATTTTAAGACCACTATTAAGCCTGGTTTTTCTTACTTGCATTGTCAGTATACTGGAAGACCACCCATAAAGCCAGGGTATTTACCTGCATTGTCAGTATACTGGAAGACCACCATAAAGCCAGGGTATTTACCTGCATTGTCAGTATACTGGAAGACCACCATAAAGTCACAGCATTTTACCCACATTGTCAGTATAAAACCAGGGTATTTTACCTGCATTGTCAGTATACTGGAAGATCATCATCAAGAGAGCAGGAACAGAAGCAGCAGCATAGTTCTCCTCTTCCCCCTCAGCAGCAGTTGCACCTGATGAAGTACAGTTAATAAATAAATATATATAAAAAGTGGGTCCTTACCCTAATGAAACTTGCTCCATCAAATTCCTACAGCATAGGCTGAACAGTTTGCATTTAATGCAAATTGTTCATTGGATAGGACAAATGTTCATTTCCGTGTAGATCACCAGAAACATTAGCAAGGACATAGGAGACAAGTAGTGAAAAAGGTTGTGTACAGGTTACAAGTAGTGAGAAAAGTGGTGTAGAAGGGGATGAATAGTGAGAAAGAAAGGTGGTGCACAGGGGTGACACGTATTGAGAATAGAAGGTAGTTTACAGGGGGATAATTACTGAGAATGGAAGGCAGTGTAATTACCCAAGTGTAGTTACAGGATGAGAGCTACGCTCGTGCTGTCCCGTCTTCCCAGCACTTTGTCATATAACGCTTTGACAGTGTATAGGGGCACAAGTTGTAAGAAAGGAGGGTGATGTACAGGGGTATGAGAAGTGAGAAATGTGGTGTACAGGGGGACAAATAGTAAGAAAGGAGGGTGGTGTACAGAAGGATGAGTAGTGAGAAATGTGGGCATACAGGGGGATGAGTAGTGACAAAGGTGGTGTACAGAGACAAAGGTGGTGTTCAAATGTACAAGTAGTGAAAAAGTGTTAAGCATTCTGACAAAACATAATGATGTTATCTTAAGAGCAAAAAATATTAAAATATTGTAAAGCCCTTGAAACAAGAATCAGGATTAAGAAGACATATTTAAATTAAGCACTTTAAAACCTTTCTATGTTCACCATTACCTTAAGAACATAAAACTTTTTTTATAAAAGATAGATACATTAATAAATCTGAAAGGTTAAAATGTGATCTTTGATCTTATCTTGCAGCGTAAGTCTATTGGATGGGGGTATGGTCAAATCATACACAAGACAGTTTGACAAATCTCATCTTCCGATTGTCAAAACAGTCATCATTAGATTAGGATGTATAAGCTAAGGGTAGACTATGTTAGGTTCAGTTAGGTTGGGTAAGGTTAGGAATGCTTTAAAATCCATTAGTGAACCATCTTATGTACTGATTGACTTGGACACTATTGGAGTAACAGCCAATTAAATGTTATGTAACACCGATTACAATACTTACCAACGGTCACTGGCAGGATATAATAACAGAGTGTGGTGATCAATTGCTGGTGGAGTGTGTCGGGAATTGACGTCATCATGGATGCCACAAGGTAAGGCAGAGTGTCAATGACTTTGCGCTCCAAGAAAACTACCAGGCAAGCCAGGGTATTCAGCAGGGCTTGGCCAAGTACTGATCAAACAAAACCAAAATATGAGTAAATCAGCAACTACTCATCTTAGTTAAATAAAAAGGTAAATTATTTTAGAAATATCACATAAAAATTGTTAATCATTTGCTAAATCTTTAACAATTCCATTATGTTTGCTTGCTTCTCATTTGGTGTTAAGTTGTCACGCCATTAAACTTATAAATTACATAATTATGTTAAGCTGTGCTAGAAACATTCTGCATATTAGTGACTATGTAATACACATTATGTACCTATGAAAATGCCACTGCATCATGTCTCTATTAATATACTGTATCTTACATAAATACAAATTATTAACATTATAATATTATTATCACAAGTAAACACAACTGACTTTTTTAGTCACTGTACTGCATAGTTTTTCTGGACATTATTGACTGACAGACGAATTTAAACAAATCTGTTATAAATGTATAGAATACTAAATTCTCTGTTGTCAAGTAAAGATAATGAACCATTATGTGATACAATGTCACCTGATCAAGAAAGATAATCTTTGCAAGTCTGAAGACAAAGTAGGTACCGAAACATACAAGTGGTGTGGGGGAGGACCAGGTGACTAGTGTTGCTTGTGTTATTAGTGTAGGGGAGGACCAGGTGACTAGTGTTGCTGGTGCCGTTACCAGTGTGGGGGACGACCAGGTGACTAGTGTTGCTGGTGCCGTTACAAGTTCACCTTGTGAGCTATGATGAATCAACAAGAGTAACAAGTATGTACATATACCCACCCTGTGTGCCATACTGGATCAGAGGAATGATGTCAACGAGAGCAACAAGTGACTGATGCAAGCCAGTATAATCAAGGTTAGGGAAGAGAGCCAGGCGTAGTGCGTCCTGGTCTCGGTGTCGCAGCATGTCCATAGGCCGTTCTTGAATTTCTCGCAACACACCTAAGTAAAAAATAAAAAAAATACAATTACACACACATAGATTCAAGCTAAGGAAACAAAGTTGCAAAAAAAAATAGAAAGTTCTCTTTTGCAGAGTGGTAGATAGCTGCAGCAAATTAAGTGGGAAGGTGGTAGACGACATAACCATTAGTAACTTCAAAGTGTCATATGACAAGAGTAATGGTAAAATGGGACACCACAAGCATCCCATCCACAAAAACAATAGTACCAGTACCATACCTGTAACTACTATGGATGGACTGTACAAAATAGTGATTGTTGTGCAAAAAAAGAAATTCATACATTTTATTCTATTATTTTGACAATGGCAGAATCTAGAAAGAAGGCAACAACAAAACCAAATTCTCCCTAGCCTAGTAAAGTACAGTGGAACCTCGAATGACGAGCGTCTCCAGTTACGAGCATTTCGAGTAACGAGCAAGCCACTCGCAGAAAATATGTCTCGACTGACGAGCTTTCGCTCTATTAACGAGCACTCCCTCTGGTTCTCAGACACTTCCGACGACAGTTTTGTTGTTATTTTGCAAGACGAGTTTTCCACATGACGAGCTTGGTACCGGAATGGATTAAACTTGTTAATCGAGGCGCCACTATACTTATATGTACAGTACTTTGTATTTTAGGCCTAAGAACGCCTATGTGACAGGTAAGGTTATTGGCTAGGCTGTTTCAGTTTTTGTTATGCCCTTTAAAATTCCACCAATATAAAATGTGGAGTTTTGGGAGGATTAAGCATTATATCTAATTCAGTCCATCCAAAATAACCCATATGTCAAATTTTTGGGGGGATTCAGATATTTTATCTGGAATGAAAATGCAATGATCAGAGGAAAATTATCCTCTAATGACAGTTACTAATGGAGTGCCCAGAAGGATCTGAACAAGGCCCGAGTGACTAGTAGAGGGCCAAGAAGGATCTGTACTAGCCAAGTCACTACAATGGGGTCCCTGAAAGCTGCTACACTTTTTGCACTTCTAGGCACCTTCTTTGTACTCCATCTGAGAGAAACATTTATAAAATATAAATCCACCATAAATGTTGCTAACCTAGTAATGTCTGAGAGAAGTATTTGAGGGTGTTGGCAATATCGAGGCCAGAAGGGGCTGGAACAACAGCATGGAGGAGCCGCAGATGGAAGTCATTCAGGTTGCGTATTTTAGCCGTAACTGTACAGGATAAGACAACATTTTTAAATTGCTAATTAGACCACAGTAAGAAAACATTTTAAGCTTTCTCCTAAATAAAACACATGTACTCAAGTGGAAAGGTAGTTTTATGGCTTTAAACATAAATTAAGTCAAGCAACCACTGCATACACTTACTGTCTGGAATTTGATCCCAATAAACAAAAACATACACACACACATTATAACAGATGTAGTAGTAAGCTAGACGAAATATTTTCTTAATGAAAGATTAATGAGAACATTAAGTAGAGGCAAATTCTCAAACATGGGAAGACGTTTTAAATGGAGTATCGCAAAGGATCAATGTAATTTATGCTTCTAGTGTATGCTATATAAATTATTTAATATACGGAATATTAAACTATATGCACGTTTGCTGATTCTGCCAATGATACGTGATACTGCTAATGATACGTGGTAAAGAAAATTAAAATTGTCATAAAAAGATTTACTTCAATATTTACTGCCATTTTACCCCTTTTATGATGTTTTGTGGCAAACTTGCATTTTAATACTGTTATAAGAACAATTAGAATATGCATTCAAATGCATATCTATGTAAAGGTGTATGTGGAGGCAATTACAATGCCAGTGGAAACAAGTGGAGACAATGAACATTACCGGTCTAAGAACTGTGGCTGTATACCTGTGACAGTATATCTATGTGGTGGAATATATTTGTGGAGGTTTATCCATGTGACAAAAATTCTAAGAAGCTGGTACTATGTTCCAAACAGGAGCCCAATTATCCACATTTACATACCACACAACAGGGACCCAATAATCCACACAAGAGGGACCCAATAATCCTTTAAGCTAAACTGCAAAATGTTTTGCCAAAAAACTATTTTTTAAATAAAGGTCTTATACTGTATTTAAATAGACATGCTGTATCACTGAGATAAATCAATGATTTATACTAAAGATCATTCTTGAATAAATTATTCAGATCTTACAAGCTGCTGATCTGGTCCCCATTTTGACGAGTTGATTCTTCAGTTAATCCGCAGCTCTCATCCAATCACTTGTTACTGCTTTATATTACCACAAGTTGCCTCATTCTGTAATTATAACTTATTAATCACAACTAATTACAAGGCTATCATTAAGGGAAAGATTCAAAGGAATATATGTAATGTGAAGAAACTTGAGACTTAATAAGCTGCATTTGCAGCATTATTATCTGTAGCAAAAATATATATAAGAGAAACAAAAATGTAAAATCAGCATCCTTTTTTGCAACAACACAAGGAATCCCTAAATATATATACAATCAGATTACTATGTAATTCATGGTGACTTTGTGCCACAACAAGGAAACAATCCCTTATTACTAGTGCTTCGACTCCCATATATAGCATGGATCAAACACCGATCAACTTCTGTATGCCTTGTGCTTTATACAGCAGATTAGAGTGAACAGCAGTAGCATGTATTCCTAAGAAACAATTGCTAACCCTAAACAAATTATTCTCTTCCAAATTAAAACACATAGCTAATATGGTTATTGTTGACCTCCATAATTGCTTTAATAATGTCGATTGGGATGCCTAGGTTTAGTTCAATTTTGTATTTGCTATATGCAGCATTAACTGCCTTGTCTAGTTATATGTTGTTTGGTAATGTCTAACTATGAAAGACAATTTACCTGAATCTACCAAAAGTCCGCATTTCTCTCTAGTGGTTTTAACGAGGACAGGAAGCTGGCAGCTTGTCAAAGGTCTCCAGTTGTCCTAATGACTTTTCTAGCCGATTCTTGAAATTCAGCAGGTTTAGCAGCAATGGCTTTGGCAGGTAGGTGGTTCCAAGGGTTTATAACCCTATGGGTGAAAAATCATCTGTTTTCCATCCTACATTTTGGCTTATTAAGCTTGAAACCATTGCTTCTTATGTGTGTTACATCTGACCATTTAAAGAAGTTGTTTGCACTAGTATCCTAAAAGTTGTTCAGTATGGTATTTTAAAGCTTTCAATGAGATCAGCCATGTCATGTCTGATTTGCAGTGTCGGTAGCCGTGGTACTCAACCATTCTTGGTATGAGTCGACTCGGTTCAGAAATGTTTTTTGTCACCCACTGTTAAACTTTCTTCAAAGCGGGTATGTCTTTCCGAGGATAAGGTCTCCATGCTTGAATACAATAATCAATGTGGGGGGCACCCCAGAGATTTATGCAGTTACACAATTACTGTACCTACATTTCCTTGATGTCAAAGGCTCATTTAACCATTCCTAAAGCATGGTTAACTTATTTCACTGCAGCTCCTACTTGCGAAACTTTTAGTGCCGTGGATTCTGACTCCAAGGTCCTGTTCTTCATCAATCTGCTACCTATATAAGACAAAGCTACCTACCTATGCGAGACTCGGCTATCTACAGTACTGTATATGGGAATCAGTATCTATATACAAAAGAGATTTTAAAAAATTTGTTCTATACCTCAGTTATCATTTTGATAGACAATAAATCGACTAATTCATGAAGTTACTCTCCTCTGTTCTCTTCAAATTCATCTGAGAGCACCACAACCAATGTACACAAAAATTATATCCTTCGAAAAAGAATCTCAACTCAAAACCAGCACAATTTGCCCTAATGTAGACCTTAATTCCTGTTATATGCAAACAGCTCTGATATACAATCCACAAATCACTGTAACAACAGGCTTGGTGATGTTAATCATTCATTTTCTTGGGGGACAGGTAGCCTGTGAATATATATACATTATATATATTCATTTATACATATATATAGAATAATGTCCATTGGATTTAAGTGAGTACACAGCATTGGTGTTTTTACAGTCTTGTAAAGCTACTAACACGAGTAGCGTTTCGGGCAAGAAACATATCGAGGTCCCCCTCCCCCCTAGGCTAAACTACTGACCCTCCCTAGACCCCATAACAGGCTGATCACAACATAGTTCCCGGGTCTGTGCCCACCATGTTGACCGTGTAACATCCCTTACAAGTACTTTAATTCCCTCTTAAACCAATCAACAAGCTACTGGTATAAGCACTCTCTCTCACTAAATAAATAATAAATAATGTTTATTTAGGTAAGGTACATACATACAAAAGATTTTACAAAGAATGATGGATTTATAGATAGGGCTAGTACATACAATGCCTAAAGCCACTATTACGCAAAGCGTTTCAGGCATCTGCTGGGTAAGCTTTGCCTATGCATGTGTTCGAGAGCTTCTGCTCTGACGACAGTTTTAGGCTTGTGTTTGACAAACCAAGATTATTATCTATACACGCTTGTTCCATCATCATCAACATGGCCAACACGGAAAAGTACCAATTTTTTGTATTCTTAATTTTTCCCCAGAAGGCTAGTTTATTGGGCAGGGTCACTCATCCTGAGAGTGAACATACTGCCATAGAAGCATGTACAACACCCTCCAATAGGAAAAAACTGGGTTGTTCATCCTGTCACTTGTACCCAGACACAGCTGGGACTTGCTTAACTGTCTCAAGTGTTACTGTAAAACAAAGAAATTAATACCTTAAAACCCTCAAGTTTGTGTTATCTTGCGGGTGCAAAATGGGGCAACATTTAAAGGACAATATCTATATTTGACAAAGTGCTCTCCTAACCCAGACAAAGTGGGACTTTACTTATAAATAAATAAATAAATTTTTATTCAGGTAAGGTACATACATACAAGGTAAGAGTAACATTTCCTCCTTTACTTGTGTAAAGGAGGAAATGTATATGTTTATCTCTCAGAATGTTTGGTAATATGTTTATTGCTTGTGATGTGTGTCTATGTATGTATTAACACGATGTACTGAACGGGGTGAGAATAGCTTGAGCTTCCTCATCCCTTTGTGTGTATATTTTACCTCAATAAACTTATTTCAATTTCAAGTGGGACTTATTATACTACACATATTTGTAGTCTCTCATGTAGTGCTCCAGACGCTGTCCTTCACTCATGCTGCAGATTATGGAACTTTGCTCCTCAGCTCTTGTATCTATGGAAGCTTCTATCAAAGACGAATTCTTGCAAAAGTGCTAATTTCCTCATCAATCAAACCCACCACAGAACAGGTAACACCAGACGCTGCAAAGACTTTACCCTTATCTAGGTTTTCAAACGTAGTCTGTAGCAATACGCTAAGTTATCCATGCCAGCTTATTTAGCCATATAAGGAGCAAGAGGTGTGCCTGTGCCCGGCCTCCGGCACCATCCTCCTTCGTCTGCGTCGAAATAAACTCGAATCTCGCGCACATATAAACATTTTTCCTTCGATTCCTCGTTCATACTATTTGGCTACCTGCATACTTTTTATAAGTCGAGGCATATGCACACATTGTAGGTAGCACCAGAGCTTTATTTAGAGTTATAAAGGGGGAAAAACCTATTGAATGTAACATTTGTCAGGTTAAACAGAAGGTGATATGGGCGAAGACACGGTCAGCGCAACGAACTCGAAGACCTGGAGGTTCCGAGGAGGACATTCTAGGTCGATATTGCGCCCCGTTCATGCTCTTCCTCTCTCTCTCATTCTCTGGCTCTCTCTCTAGCTCACATCTGTAGCTCGTTCCCGACCCTCTCTCTCGCCCAGCATCTCTCATTCACAACTTCCTCTCTAGCTCACCCCTGGTACTACTCTCTTCGACTACCACGCTTCTTCACCAGTCTATTCTTCAGCTATTCCCCCATTTTCCCCACCGCCCATTGGCTACTTGTCCTGTATATAATGTTTTATTTGTTATTTTACTAGAAGGTACATTGGGTTGAGGAAGTGCACATTCATTCGGGCTTGAGCGTAACAGATGAGGATTTGGTTCTTTTTTTCTTCAAGAACCACGTTTCGGGGATGTAATTACCCTAGTGTTTAAGTACTTTCGAGATCCTGGATTGGGTCAAGGTTCTGGTGCTACCACTGTATCCTCCATCACCCTTAACTGGAGGAGTGGAAGCAGTGCCTATGTCTTGCTGGTTGTTATGGCCAACTTGAACTGATTGATTGATAAAGATTAAGCCACCCAAGAGGTGGCACGGGCATGAATAGCCCGTAAGTGGTGGCCCTTTTGAGTCATTACCAGTATCAAGAGCTGATACTGGAGATCTGTGGAGGTGGGACAGCACCCTGGGTGACGGGAGATATCTCCCGTGAACTTGAGCCTTCTGTTAACGTGTCTTATAACCGCTTCTTCTACGATCCTACCCCTTTGAACCGGAGGTAACAAGTAACAGTGCAAGGAATAAAAGGGGGATAGACAATAGGCAATTACACCTTTACCAATATATTCAAATTTTTATTCGGGTAAAAGTTCATACATATATGATGAGTTATAAACATAATGTTGGATTTATAAATAGAGCTAGTACATACAATACCTAAAGCCACTAATACGCATAGCGTTTCGGCAAGGTGTGGAAGAAAAAGAAGACACTTAGACTAAAACTTACTAGTAACTGAGAATAAAGTATAAGTTGACCAGACCACACACTAGAAGGTGAAGGGACGACGACGTTTCGGTCCGTCCTGGACCATTTTCAAGTCGATTGTGATGAGGAAGTAGAGACAGGCAATAAATTGGGAAGAGAGGGGTGAGGAGCAAAGGTGTAATAGAGGGGATAGTAGGAAAACGAACTGCAGAGGGCCTATTGGCCCATACGATGCAGCTCCTATTAACCACCGAATGAGAAGGAGATAGTAATAAGAATAAGAAGAGGATAGCAAGGGAACGTAGAAGACAATGAACAGAAAAAAGAGAAGATAGAAAGAAAAGGAAAGCGAAAGAAAGATAAATGGAAGGGCAAGCTTATGTTAGGTCACGTTTGTTAGAAAGATTAGAGCATTTAAGCATATACTGTGAAAGGGAAGAGTCCACAGCATCAAAGCCAGGACTCAAGTTCATGTTGGGTACATTGTGTATTAGAGCCGATTCAACACGACGGCGACTGTGTGGAGTAGAGGCAAGAAAGATTATTTTGGAGGAAGACCAATCAATGGGATGATTAGAATCCCTCACATGGCAGAAGTGAGTATTGTTAGTGTCTGCAGACTTAACACTTCTATTGTGTTCTTTAAGTCTGTCATTCAGTGTACGGCCAGTTTCCCCAAAGTATTGGAGAGGACAAGACGAACAGGAAATAGAGTACACACCCGCAGCAGGAGGAGCAGTGTGAACTAGATTGCTACGAAGTGTGTTAGTTTGTCGAAAGGCGAGTTTAATGTCAAGAGGACGAAAGGTAAAGGTTTTGAGTTCAGATATGAAGGGAAGGCATAGTACAGTGCTACTAGTGTTGGAAGCAGGTTTAGGATGAAAAAAATTTCGTTTCGCTTGAGAGTAGGCACAGTTGATGAAATGCAAAGGGTAACCAAGGTGAGAGAATGATTTGTAGATAAAGCCAATTTCAGAATCAAGAAACTGAGGGTCGCTGATGCGTAGAGCGCGGAGGAAGAGAGACGAGGACACTTTTTCTTAACAGGAGGATGATGGTAGGAAAAAAAGTGAATGTACATGCCACTATGTATGGGTTTGTGGTAGACAGAGAAAGAGAACCCGGACACAGAGCTGTGAACGTGAACATCAAGAAAAGGAAGGAGGGAATTAGATTCCCACTCAACTTTGAAATGGATAGACGGAGCTAAATTGTTAAGAGAGGAGAGGAAGGCTGGAAAAGACTAAGGTCATGAGGCCATAAAGCAAAAATGTCATCAACATAGCGAAGCCAGAGAGAGAGGGACGAGTATCAATAGAAGGAAGAACAGTTTCGAAGTATTCCATGTATAAATTAGCAAGAACAGGGGAGAGAGGGGAACCCATAGCGACACCGAAAGTTTGAGTGTAATATTTACCGTTGAAAGAGAAAGAGTTAAGAGTCAACACAGAGTCTAATGAGTTCGAGGAAAACGTCAGTGGGAAGCGGGAGAGGAAGGAGGCCCTCAGACGCCTTCTGTCCCAGGAAAGAGAGAATGCCATCGAGCGGAATATTAGTGAACAGAGAGTCGACATCAAGACTAAGCATCTTACAAGAGGGTTGCAGGCGCAGTCTTTCTATAAAGTCCTGAGAGTGACGAAGGTGGGCAGGGGAAAAAGTGACAAGGTAAGGCATCAGGGTTTTAGCGAGCCAGGAGGCAAGAGGATAGCTGACAGAGCCCCGTGAAGAAATGATAGGACGAAGAGGAACACCAGGTTTATGAGTCTTAGGAAGACCATAGAAATGAGGAAGAGAAGGGCAGATGATACGGAAACGTTTAATAAGATCAAAGTCAGGAGGACAAAGACTAGAGAGCTGTCTTAGTTTGCGGTTAAAAGAAGTTTTGAGGCGATCCAAAGGGTTAGAAGTCAGAGGAGCATAAGTGCGAGTCAGAGAGCAAGACATCTGCTCTTCGGAGGTAGTCCTCACGGACTAGTAGCTGGGCACTTTTCGTTTCATCTAATGGTACATATTTACTTACTAGTAAATATGTACTGTACATAGGAGTCAATCAACTGCTTGAGTTGTATCCTGGGGAGGGTCAGCCGTTCAATGCTGGGAGGACCTCGTTACAAGGCTTATATGTATGTATGTATGTATATGTATGTATGTATTATATGTATATATATACATGTGTGTATATATATATATATATATATATATATATATATATATATATATATATATATATATATATATATACATACATACTCACACAAGCTTCTTGTCCCTAACAAACAAATTATTGTATTTGGTTCTTTCTCACCAGTACTATTGTATCTGGCAGCAATGCACTTCTCTCGGAGGTAAGAGGTGCTTTAAATATTTTTTTGAGTAATTTTGGTTGGTTTAGGCAATGCTGGTTTATATTTAGGGTCTCTGTGCATTTAGCTGTTGATTGATGTGATTCTTTGTTACACTGACTTCCGAGTCAGTGGAAGCTGTGTTATTCAAGTCAATAGTTAAGACAGCCGTTGTCCTCATCCACACCTGTTCATTTTGCCAAAATTAATGTTTCAACTCAAATGAAACTGGAAATTATAGGACCCAATTGTTATTTGGAGAGTAGTCTTATTAGGAGACAAATACCAATGCTTGTGGAATCTTTAATTTTATCTTTCAAAACTAGCTTAATTACATCCTTACAGCATCTAGCTGAATACAACACTTTATTCACAATTAAAAGTTTTGATTAAATCATTTAATATGCACCTCATATTTATTCTTTGAGTGGCACTTAGTAACTGAACCCAATATTTGTTTAGCTAAAGAGATATACACATAGCATTGATGAACTACTGTAGTTACAAGATTTGTTAACATATACAAAAAGATCCGTCACACAATGGATTCAGGACCTCAAAGTTGTTTAAGCTTATGCTGCATAGTCTCCCAAGCTTGATGCTTTTTTTTGATAATGAAGAGAAGCTCAGCACTCACATTGGTGCTGAGCTACATGCATTTATATTTGGTTCACACTGTATTTCTATATCATGCACCCCACACCCATTCAGTGGGCATCAGAGGAAAAGGTTACTGTCACAAAATGGACACTGGCACTAAACCATTGTTTAACTAGGCATATTTGTGATGATACAAAGTTTAGTGAAAGCTATTTCAAATAAGGGCTTTACAAAATTTAACCAGCAGCAAATGATGAGATGGACCCCAAAGTGCCTGTAATTAAGGTTTTCAGGTCTTAATCTATCACAGACGCAGATTCAAAAGATTGTATACAATCTTCAAAATGTTCCTTTGTCCAAGTTCCTGAAGACAATCTGGACACTGGCCAATTAGGGAGGATCAGTTATGAGTGCCTCTGATGTTAAATTTGCATTTAATGTTCTGTATGTGGGTGTACAGTGTGTGCAACTTGTAGGCATGGATGCACATTAGTGTGCCTTTTTTTTCCAAATAAACCATTTTATTTTTATTTTTATTTTTTTTTACCACAGACGTGGCCACACATTTACAATGCTAACCAGCTACATAAACCATTATTAGACATTGAACCTGAAACATGAAAAAAATAAGTATTTTTACAATACTGTATTTTAATATACATTAGTCTGCCATTTGCTTCCTTGACACATACTGAAGATAAACCATCTAGCTCTTTTATGCTAAACTTATTTAATTCTTTGGCTGTGTAGTTAAATGTCTGAAATGGGAATCATTTTGAGAAGTGCACTGAGCATTCAAATTCAGGGACGCTACTGTATTTTAGAGAAAAGATCAAATATCATCAGTTGGGAGTAATGTTCATTTCATAAACGGAAAAAATAACTACTGCACATAAGGAAGGCTCTTTGTTTTGAAGAGGAAATGGAAGAAGAGCCACTGCCAACCCATGCTCACCAGCATCTGGTTATTAATTGTAACCAGTTTCCATTCACATTCATAGCCGACTGCTCAAGACTCAAGTTGAAAATTCTTAGGGATGTAACGCAATGCATCAAAACGGTACAGAAGTGGTTATGAATTTGGTGACATTCAACGACTGTCGCAGCCAGAGAGTTAACAAAGTCAGCACTTAAAATTTTAGGTTTACCTCCTACAATTTTTTCATAAACACTTTAAATTAAGGTAATATTGATAATGGCAAATAAAACTGAGGCAGGCTTTATCTTCATGGAAAGAAGTCTTTTAAAATTTGCTTCTTATTAACTTTTCCCATGTTGTTACGAGGAAGACCATTTGTCGCAGTAACTACTACCGAAGGAATTTGATAGTGTGGCATTAGCTTTAGTCCCCATTTTTTTAACTCAAGTTGATCTAATGTTTCCTGACCTGACCACACAACTACAGCTGCCACCTGTAATGGAGAAAATTTAGTTTTTAATAAAATACAGCATTAAAATTAATTTATTTCAATTAATGGTCTTAAGAGTGAAACATAAAATTGGGATGTTTAGCACCGTGAGGCACTTCTTTTTGGAGAATGACCATCTCCTAATCACCCACCAGGCTCTCAAACTTTTATTCTCATAGTGATAGATATTCTGGCAAGTGACACTATCGCATAATTCAAAGAAGATAGTTGAAGTCAAAACCATCAGTAGTTTCAAAGCATCATATGACAAAGAGTATTGAGATGGGACACCATGAGCATAGCTCTCACCCTGTAACTACACTTAGGTAATTACATACCTACAAAAGAGAGACAGAAGCAACTCAAACTCAAGCCACCATCAGAGTATTAGCACTGTATACATCAGGAAGAAATCACTATTGTGAATCACCTCCATCAAGCAAGAATTATGAGGCGATGAGTCACAATAACGTGGCTAAAGTTTGTTGACCAGACCACACACTAGAAGGTGAGGGGACGACGACGTTTCGGTCCGTCCTGGACCAATCGACTTGAGAATGGTCCAGGATGGACCAAAATGTCGTCGTCCCTTCACCTTCTAGTGTGTGGTCTGGTCAACAAGAATTATGAGTATCAGGACTGCCAATAATCATTCTGCAAACTAAAATTAGTAGGTCAAAGGCTACACCCACTACAACCAGGTAATACCACTGTCACCACTAGTGCTAAAATTGAGGGTACACGGCTCCTCTGATCCAGCTGTGATGATGGTGGTGTCATGTGGTGGTGGTCAATGCAGCTTTTGATCTACTAACAAGAGTTTGTAGTATGACAATTGGCACCTATGCCATTTCTAACTTTTATTCGTTTTAGAGTAGTGATTTGTTCTTGTATCATAGTGGGCTGGTACTCATGGAGGTGACTTGAGTTAGATTCATCACCATCTCCCATAGTTACCAGTACATCATGGGGGAGTAAGAGCCTACTGGGTTATGAGTCCTAAGTGGATCATATAACAGCTGGCTATATGATCAGGAGCATTTCACTATGCTCAAGTCTGTATTTTGTTGTTTACCTCATGTTAGTCATTCATGGACATTTACATAAAAGAAATGTATGAAACTGAATAGCTGAAAACAGTAAAAATGGAATGAAGGAAATTGTGTGTGTGATATAAATGTGAATAGTGAAGTGTTAGAAGTGATTGATCAAATTAAATAACCGAGATGTGTGACTGACAAAAAGGAAGGAACTTTTATAACTGAAGTTAAGAAGAGAAAATGTTAAGATGAAGAAAAGTGGTTTTCTCTCCTAGCAAGTAGGAAGGGAAAGTTGGTTTATATAATGAAAGTCCTTAGTTGCAAGACAAGACAGGAACATATATAGCCAGAGGGTGGATAGTTATGTACAGTTTGTGGGGAATGAATGTGAATACAGTAAATAAAATGAATAATTAAGAGAAGTACAAAGGGGTAGTCTGAGAAGCATGTGTGGTGTTAGAACAATAAACGAGTAAGGCATGAAAATGTTGTGCAAAATAATTAGAGTATGCTAAGCAATTGAAGAGGAATGTATTTCAATGAATATATAGGTAGGAAGAGAGGAATGCAGAGAAGTATATGAGTGGACAAGGTAAGATGATTATATTTTGTAATTTTTCTTGCTTTTTGACTGAATTAAACAAAAAATTTAATTTAGTAATATTTTGATGGTTTTTTCATGTTTTTCAATCATTTTGATTTGAACTAAAACTCATCAAAAGTGAAAGATGAGTGTAAACAAAAAATGAGATGTGTGTGGCAGCATTGTTGTAAAGTAAGGAGGAGGAGCACAGTATTCCTTGTCTTATGAAGTGATGAGCTGTTACTCTGGGCGAGTATTGAGTGTGGTGGTGCGTGTTTAACACTCATGCAATAATATGTGTAGTGTGGATAATACAACTAATTAACAAGTGATATATTTAATACCAATGATTTTCTTTCACCCTATAGCTTCCCTTTTTCTGTAAGGTGATATCTCTTTCCCACACCAGAAAAGCAAGAAACAAAGTATTAAACTTTTGCACGTAAATATTATTGTAGTTTTTAACATATACTGTATACAGAAAGCAAATCCATGAACAGTTGATAATTAAGCTAATAATTTACTAAATTTTGTATGCTTTATACATTCATAAATACTGAAAATACAATACTGCCATTAAATTTCGGCCGGTTGGGTCTATATGTAGTTCAGAGTTCCTCTACACCCCATAAACGTCAACCTTCATGAAGTGGTTGAAGGCAATGGATTGTAAAATGTGTCGATGTAACATGAAAAAGAACAAGTTAAATATTTATGGAAACAAAGCTCATTCCAGCATGAATGCTTCGAATACCACGGAAAAACCAATGAATTATAATCATAAAATTTAATAAACTGTGCTTCATAATAATATTTCATACTTTTTGACCCCAAGTGATATCTGGAATGCCCACAACTGCAACATCTGAAATGTTCGGATGGCTAAGAAGATGGCGCTCTACATCAAGTGCAGAAATCTTAAAGCCTCCGCTCTTTATTATATCCACACTGGTGCGTCCAAGAATCTTGTATGCTCCATCGACATACTGTGCTGTGTCACCTGCAACACATGAATTATCATTTAATAATTCTAACAAAAAGGTTAATTTTCTATCAATCATCTTTATGTAAGTTTTCCTAATACAGTACTGGTGTTGGGTGTATCAAGCAAAATTAGATTTCTTTCATTATCTAATCTCTGAACTTAATTTGTTGATCAACCAGAATGGCTTGCCTGCAGGCAAGCTGCAAGGAAACCCACCACCATATCCCGAAGAAACAGTTTAAATCACTTGGGCAGGAAACAAGGCTAGAGCAGAGTCCACTGGCAAAAACTCTACCGCTTTCTGGAGCCGAGCAGAGCACAGCTCATGGACAAATACACTATAAACTGCTGCTAGCAAGAGTAATGATAGTTCATGCACATTTTCCATGAAGCATCAGAAGACCTAAGGTTGAGGAGAGCAATTTTTACCTTATTAATAAAACATATTAAATTATTTTACTCAATCTCCACATGATGCCTCATTAATTATCACATCTTCCTACCTGTTCTAAACCAGCCATCGTGAGTAAATTCCTTCAAGGTTGCCTCGGAGTTCTTCCAGTATTCTTTAAAAACATTTGGCCCACGTACTAGCAACTCTCCAGGCTGCAAGAGAGCAAAACCTAATTCATTTATAAAACTATGAAAGTGCAAGCTCCACTCACGTCATTCTGAATTATATATGGTTGTCAATGACTAAATTTCACATTTAGTCAGTCACATTTTTCATCACATGTTAATTTCTGTGATTTACACACATACATACATACATATATACATACCATACATATCTATATCGAAATATATACAGGAGCATAACTTACTACATCTAGCCTTTATATATCTTTCTACCTATTTGCAGAGGATTCTCAACAAGTAAAATTTTATAGATGATTGATACAGAAAACAACAGTCACACTGCAACCAACCTCTGTATTCTCTTTCAACATTACTTCAGTTCCATGAGAATTTCCATAGCATAACACTTCATATTTGTCCGTCCCAGGGAGAAATTTTGCTATGCACACTTCAGTTCCAGGCAATGGGTTTCCAACAAATCCTGGAAGATATAAAAATATTGAATCCAATAATCCACAGTGCACGAGGACATTCCTGGAGTACGTACCTGGCAAAGTATGAAAAGTGAAATAGTTATAACATCTTCCTATTAACATCACTAAGGTTTATTATACTCAAGTATAGTACACTAAAATCAATTTCATTTTTTATACTACAGGGTTGCCTCAGATAAAGTGTGCAGTAATGTGCTAAAAATTTCAGTGAGGTTCTGTATTAAAAAATGTGGCATAATAAGATACAATCTACAATCAATTTGACTAATGATAAAACAAATAAAAGCAGATACAGGTGGTACCATATTTATACACACATTCAAACTCATTTAATTATAAATAGACTACAAAGTTAAGTAGTTAACAATTATTTATAAGAAAATTAGACCTAATGGTAGATGAAATCAAATGAAAGACTGAAGATTAAACATTCATAGTTCATTTACTATAATTTCCCTATTTCCCACTTTCATGGGGTGGGGAGGCATCAGAAGAAAAAAGGGGATATGATACAGTATAGTGAAAGGCTATAGATAATAGCAACAAAACAAAGAGACTAATATTGCATTTAATAGAAAGAAATTTTGTGAAGATGACTCCCCAGCCCAAACCTACCACTCCTGTAATACAGGGAATGTGAGGCTGATTGCACCTCATACTGACAGTCCTTTGATTTCAAATCGAACCATATAAACATGTACAGTATTTTAATAGCACCTTATAATGTGAATACTGAGTATATTTAAACATTAGTACCAGAATGCGATTTAATAAGACTGAGTAATTTGGATATTATTCCCAACTGAGGGTTTTCTTACCTGGCTTACGAGTGCCCTTCAAAGAATTAGAGAGTGCCATGCCAATTTCAGTCATTCCATAACGTTCTAAAAGAGTATGCCCTGTAATCTGCTGCCAACGCTCATGGACTGGTTCTGGTAATGCTGCTGAACCACTCACCATAAGTCTGTTGAATTTATTGCACATGTAGAGCTACAACATTGCCTGGGAGGACCCCCTCAGTAGCTCACCAAGATATAGTACTAGGACTGCCAAGCTTAAAGAAATCTTACCAAATCTCTATTAATTCCCATACTTTTAACTCAAAATCATTCAAGATGGTATATGCCATCTATAAAATTTTGTCTGTACTGTTGTGGAAATACTGAATGAGAATGACTTTCTAGTTAAAATTTACAACTACATAATTAGAACTACAAATTTCCATCATATAAAAATGCTTGAAGAACTTCAAAGTGCGTGTAAACCTATCTGATGCACCAACAATCAGCACTCAACATGAAGCAAACAAACTTCATCACTCTCCCCTAAATTACAATACACTCACAAACAGAACTAACCTGATGTTTTGAATACAGACGGATTTTACGTATTCTTGCATACGAGTATTTTTAACCAATTTATTATCATATTCTTCAATAAGTTTGGCATACATTGTTGGCACTGCCATAAAGAGGTTGACTCGTGACTGGACGGGTGTGTCGAGTGACAATAGCTTGCTCCATACAGCAGCTGCTGAAAACTGCGGTAGCATCACAACCCTGAAAGATATTTAAACATTTCAAGAAATAGCTACATCATGACATTCACACATTTAGAACATGATAAGTTAGCATATTATTTTCAACACACATTAGGTATTCTTTGGCTTCAAATCTCAACATATACAGTACTTATTTTTTTGTTTAATAATCAGTGCACATTAGTTGGTCATTCATTTAATCATTTACCATCATCATCATCATCATTATAAAGTATCTTGTGTCTTGCTTTTATGTAACAAAGAATCTATCAGTGGTAACTTCTCTCAGAAAGGATAACTCATCAGTGGTAGTATATACAACTTTTAACAAAAATGTTCACAGCAGTACTACAACACCAATTTCCCAGCCAAGATAAAATACTCAAACTGAACAAAGAAAATTTTAATTATTTCAATCATTATTTTTTTAAATCTACTTTTACTCAGTATTGCTCAAGCCACTTCCTGTGTACTGTCCACATGTTTGCCTGTTTTCTGCCTCACTTCCACTCACCACATCGGTCTTTACTCTCCTCTTAAATGCATCCAAATATATTTTATTCATCACTATCAACATCAATTTATTCAACAGAAACATAATCGTAGCACAGTCTCCTTAATGTCATGAGAAACATACATTCTGCTCTTGTGTAGAATATTAACAAATACATGCTGTATATTAAATAATCCATGTTTTATGGAAACAAAACAATCATATTTCAACTGTAATGCCAATCTGCTAAATATATAAATACATGTCTGACTTAACATATCAGCAAAGTTTTTTATAATATTTCAACTGGAACATCAAGATATCAAGGACTCTTAATTTTTAACTAAAAACATGGACACACTAGCAGGCTGTAAACAGTGAAATCCAGAGAGCACGATGAATCTATGAATAAATATTTAAGCCGTACAATGGAATCAGACCCGCATCCCTGATCTCCCGCATCCCTGATCTCTTGCATCCCTGATCTCCTGCATCCCAGATCTTCCGCATCCCTGATCTCCTGAGGCATACACTACCAACTGGACCATGATGGGGTCAAAAGTATCTCAACCCGGTAGTACTTCTGGTCGAGATACTTTGAGCTTGTCATGGTCTAGTCAGTAGTGCCCAAGGAGATCAGGGACGTGGGTTCGATTCCATCGCATAGTCTCAATATTTAGCAGACTGTACCTGGCACCAACATAGAGGGGAGAGAGGAGAGCATTAACAATGCCGTGTGTGTGGTGGAGAGGCAGGCAATGGAGGATGGCATCACCAGAGCTCAAGCCCCAAGCCTGATGAAGACAACTTATTTGTGATAACAGATTCTTGTGAGTCAGGACCACACCTGTGCAGAGACATGAGGCTTAGTCTAAACAACTTTCAAATCAAACTACATGCTGGTTGAACTGTTATACAAAATACTGTATCACATTTTATGGCATATAGGACACATATTTTTGGTCCATAACCAACAGAATATATGTTGAATTTACATGCACAGAATCTCGTATTTTCACCTACAAACCCACTTTAAAAAATCACTAAATTTGGTGCATTTCATACACCGGAAATTATGGTACAGTACCCGTATTAAGTGGTGCAATGCGAGTAAAAAAAATAAAAATAAATTAGTGGTTTGTAGTGCAAATTGTGAAACTGTGGATGTCTTGCACACAAGTTAGATATTTGCAAGACATAAAAATAAAGGCATTCTGAGTTCTAGTACTGAGCTCTACACATCTTTCACACATGTGAAATTGCTTGGCAAATGTGTTACTGTACAATGTTCCTTAAAACATCTTCAACAGTGGAAGGCATCTGAAATGCCTGGGAAAAGTATCTTGAGGCCAACTAGCCAGCCTCTCTCAAGAAAGGGAAATTTTAAGTAGCAAGGTGCCATATCATTAGTATACTTGAATGTATTAATATATATATTATTTATCCTAAGGCTTTTAAAGTAAAGAATTTCAACTTCAGTTTAAATCTTACCCTTAGGGCGGCCAGTAGTGCCACTGGTGTAGATAATTAATGCATCATTGATTGAGTAGAAATCATTGTCTCGACCGTAATCAACTTGAAAGTTTTCCTCTTTGGGCATAGCCTGAACTTTGGAGTTGTCTTCAGGAGTGGATGGCTTGAAGAAAAACTCCTCCAGGACTATGACCTAACAAAATAAACACACTTGCTTATCAAGACAAATATATTTTTATTCTAATGAGAAATGGAGTGATGCATAGCAATGTACACAAATCTCTAGAAATCTACTTCAACACATTAAAAATAAATTAAACGTCCTTAAAATGCCCCAGTATTATTTAAAACTTTGTATATATCAATGTATATAACTCTGTATATAACAACAATGTTAATAACTTTGTATATAACATCAATGGTTAACATTGACTGATATTTTTATGGAAACATCTCCATTTTAAAAATACAGTAGACAGTATAATTTGGTTAATTTACCACAGGTACTTTCTCCAAGTTCATCAGAGCTTACCTGCTGTCCAGAGAGAATAGGTTTGATCTTATTGGTTAATTCAGATGTTGTAACAATGATGGAAGCTTCGCTGTCTCGAACAAAATACTCCAATTCGGACGGTGGATGTTTGGGGTAAAGAGGCACGGCTGCAGAATTAAATGCTAATATATATCTACTCTTACTATGCATTATAACTCATCATTATTACTTTTAAATACATCAACCTGTCGTATGATAGTAATAACTGTGCATTATAACCGTAATCATCAATATTATTTATACATATATCGACTTGCTGCATAACTTTAAACAGTACAGAATAAATCAAAAGCAATGACAAAATATAGTACAATATACATTTCAACCTACCAACGTGACCAGCCATCCAAGTGGCCCATTGCGTGATCACGTATGAAACGTCACTGGGACAGAGAAAAGCGACGCGGTGCTGTCCCGAACCTTTGCCAAGCACATCCTGAATTCGCCAGGCCAAATGTCCACTGTTGAATAAAAAGGTAGTGGTTAAAATATAAGTTTTCATACAGCATTATAAGGAAAATTATTTTATTCAAACACAAGTAGTGTTTCCAGGGTTAAGCTTCAGCTCCTGGGTCCCATCTTTAAAGCTGTTGGTCATCTGATGCTTTGACTCCTGACCTGATTGCTCTTTTATCACACATGAACTTTTGAACCTATGAAAGAAAATTTTTCCTTTAATTCTACTAACTTACTATCCTCATATTTAAGTGCATCATTGTGCATCACCTGTGGCTCATCTGCATATCTTCAATCCATGCTCTCTTATTCTCTTACTGCTTATTCTAAACAGCCTGTCAGGCTATCTACAACACCAAGTACTGGTATCTTTTATGTTTTGGTCATGTCGCCTCTTTCCAGAATTACAGCTATATTTTCATATTAAATGTATATTGCACCCAAGCAGTGTAATGCCCCATGAGTCTTTATCCAAATAATGCAGCACCCTGTGAATGCGTGTTTCCATATTATTCACAATCTTTAGGTAGGGGTTCATAAATCAAACACGTCTCAACTTCCTACTGAACTGAGAGACTCTGAGCATTTCCTGATATTGTCCATGCCACCAATACACACAACGCTCGATTTGTGTGAGAGTTATGTGCCTGGAAAAGCTTGTGGCATGGTGGTCTTCATCAGTGGCTTGCAACTGAGGGTCCCAGGCTCAATTCCCATGGTAGGACAGAGATGGTTGACCACACTTCCTTTCACCAGGTGCACCTGTTCACCTAACAGTAAACAGGCACCTCAAGATTTAAGCAAGTGCTGTGGGTTGCATCCTGGGAAAGGTCAGTAGTTAGCCTTGGGAGGATCTAAATTAGCCTAAGTACAGGCTTCTTGTCCCCTACAATGAGAAAACATTTGCAAATGGGGATGTTTGGTAAAGTCATAAGGATTTAACTTATTTGCCAAACAGTGACTGGCAGGTGTTTGGGGAAAGAGTAACATCCTGTAATTCCTCTGGGCTCTCACTTAAGCTACCTGAAGTTTCTGTCCAATTTAATGTGTTAGCCGAGATGGCAGTACCAGCAACATGCATTGATACAACAGGTGATGGGTGGGCCAGAAATATTGCTGTAGGGTGGTATGATTTCACCGCATTGTTACTTGTAAATGAACTTAAAGGAAGCGATGGCTTCCTCTATAATCCTCCCAATCTATAAACTATGCTCAAAATTTAAGTTAATGTTGACTGCATGGGCTTGGTTAATTTCTCTAGAAGCAAGACAAGATCCATGTCTAATTCTTCAAGATGGGAATTAATTCTAATACTTATATTCTTAACACATCATCAGCCTATATATCACTGAACTCTTGCCTGCCAATTCTTTAGGAATTTAGATAAGAGGAAGTTGGAAATGGGATGACTTGTCACATAACCCTCTAGCGAAATTAACCTACCTAACTTGTCCAAAAAGTCCAGGAAAGCATAGCTAACTGCATGGAGAAGCTAGGCTTGGAGTAATTCTTTGTACTACTGTGCTTTATCTGAAAAACAAGATAATTTATCATATGTTTGAATTTTACATGTTTAAGTTTTATTTACTGTATATAAGTTTAAATAAACTAGTAGTTTATTTCTTGTAATATATGGGTAGAATGCTGTATATGTACAGTAATACTAAATTCAAGAGAAACTGTTTGTATGCCAATCCTGATAGATGTTGGGATATTGTTTATATATATATAGTGTACAGTACTGTACTGTACTATACTTGTATGCTGCAATTACAATTAAATTATTATTATAACTAATAATAATAATATTAATAATAGGATAAAAACCAACACTTACGTATTTGTGAGATTTATGTAAAGAAATTAGACCAATTGTTTCGCACTCTCTGAATGCTTTACTAAGGTCTGAGTATGAGATTAGGAGACGTACATCTCAACGACTAATCTATTAGACGTTGAGAGGTAATTCTCGTCAAACCAAACACACTCAGACCTTGACAAAGCACTCAGGAGAGTGTTTAACACCTGGTGTAATTTCTTTACATATCTCACAAATATGTAAATGTTGGTTTTTATCCTATGTTATTATGTCTTTTAGTAGACATTACCATTACTTACTAATAATAATAATTTATATAATAGTACTTTACATTTGAAACATAATACAGTGGAGTATTATGACCGCACAGTAAAGTTTTATGAATACAGTGGAGTATTAGATACATATTGCAATTTACATAAAGCCACTAATATGCAGAGCATTTTGGGGGATCAGTTCTTACTCATAAGAGGACTTATAAGCTGTCCCATGTTTCTGTGCATTATGGGTTCATTCCAGGCAAGTTGCACCATTGTTTATGCAAGTTGCACAGCCTTCAAGCCTCATCTTGATATCTTGATGTTTAAACTGCCAGAAATAAAGTTCAATAATATATAAAAAGAACAAGGAATAAGTCATCAAGGGGAAAAAAATAAAGGCTTAAAATGCCAAAAAACTTGATCATTTTTTACTTAGTCATTTGAACTGACATGACAAACCTAAACATTTACAGTATATCTTCATACATGAAATGCTCATTTATATACACATTGTTGCATGCACAGTATGTATTGCTATGAAATGAAAATAATGGCTAAAATTTAAATAAGGCATAGAAAATAAATTGATTTCCAATGCAAAAATATATCAGTGCAATATTTTTTAGGGGTAAACTTTCAACGAAAAAAATATATGTACGTACTATATGTGATGTTATATGCAGAGTTGTAGATACAGTAACTCATTCACTCTTCCTACCTACATAAGATATATCAAAGACATAAAACATGAGAATTAGGCCTTCCATGGTTCTAAGCATGGCTGTCATTAAATATCTACAATATAATCACTTAAGAAACCAACCAATGTACCTATTTCCATTTTTTAAGCTCCCACATTTTAGATTCTTTGTATGTCTTAAATCTTTCTTCATGGAACACCTTGGGACAAAATGAAAAGTAAAAATCAAGACAATAACTGGAGTGAATATACTTTGACCAGACCACACACTAGAAGTTGAAGGGACGACGACGTTTCGGTCCGTCCTATTTTTATACGCTGGATACTTGTATTAAATATTTTCTACAGAGTAAACACATCCTCTAACCTTAATTTATGAATGTGTCCATAAGTATGTTCTCCGTGCTGGTCAGTAACTGCCACAGCATCTTTATACTGTGCTGCTTTTCTAAATATTGGCAACAGAGAGGAACTTGATGATGATGATGATATATGTCTCCAGTTCTTTGTAACATTCTGCCAGTATATAGAATAATTTTTAGATGAGTGAAGAAGCTGAACCCCTCTAATCCTTGTCCACAGCATGGTTGGTCAGCCCTGAAAATACACACACACAAACAAAACAAATTACAATTTCTTGTACAATATAACAAACAATAAAGCCTATACCTATTCTTCCAGTACTGAAAAAAGTAGTTAGCTAAGGCTGATGTACAATAATTTTTGTCATTTTATCAGTCACCTGCTGAGTAAGCCCAGTTGAAAGCCAATTGAAAATGTTTGAGTTTATGGAATCAGATGTAGTATGATAAAATTATGTGTTGTTATAGGCCGAACTCAATGGTGCTAAGGAAATAGGCATGAACACTTACGGTAAAGTTAACCTCCTTCGGACTTCGGCAGTTTAATAACTATAATTTTCTGCATTATTCGGCAATGGAACACCAAGTACTGTACATATATATCCCCTAAGTACATGTTAAAATAGTAAATATCCACAAACAAACATTTGGAAAAATATTTATTTACCAATATTTTCGACATCCAGTTACATGTACAGTCGATGAGTCACAATAACGTGTCTGAAGATATGAAGACCAAACATGAGAAAATGAAGAAACGATGATGTTTCGGTCCGTCCTGGACCATAATCAACTCATGTAATGGTCCAGCATGGACCGAAACGTCGTCATCTCTTCATTTTCTGATGTGTGGTTTGGGTCATCATTCAGTTACACGTGTTTAATGTGATTTTACCCTGGACCATCCAGAATGATTGACACCCACACCCCCATAAGGTCAAGCAATGGTGTGTTTGGCTTCTAATCCAATGCATGACCAGTACCAAAGGTCTCTGGCGACACAACAAATTTTATTCACCAACCCATAGCATCCCTGACAGCTGAGTGGACAGTGCTTCGAATTCGTAGTCCTGAGGTTCCGGGTTTGATCCCCGGTGGAGGCAGAGACAAATGGGCAGTTTCTTTCACCCTGATGCCCCTGTTACCTAGCAGTAAATAGATACCTGAGAGTTAGACAGCTGTTACGGGCTGCCTCCTGGGGGCGTGTAACAAAAATGAGGCCTGGTCGAGGACCGGGCCGCGGGGACGCTAAGAACCGAAATCATCTCAAGATAACCATCCCCAACCCACGGAACAGCCACATGACAACCCCTAACCTTAAAATTACAGCAGGCAATAATCCTCAGACATATTTGGGTGGGGGACGGACCCTTTGACAATCCACCAGCTTCCTGTCCCCGCCAATAAGAGATAATGACCCCCTGTGGTAAGGAAGACACAAGAGAGCCTCACCCTGGCCACAGTGGACACGTGCTCCCCGTGTTTACCTCCGTCAGCTGATCCTCCCACACCTGCCGCTTTTTATTATAATAATACAGACAATTGTATTATTGTATATAAGAAAACTGCCGCTTTTTATTATAATAATACAATTGTCTGTATTTGTTAACACTGTACGCTGATTATGGTAGTTTAATGTTGGCGTGTTGTACTGAAACATTCTGAACAGAAATGATGGCGATCATGATGATAATATAAAAATCATGATGGATGGAAACAGAGGATGATAGTAGGAAGGGAAGGGAACTATCAGGGGAAAGCACCAAGTCATTACGACTATATAACACTGGGAAGGGGTCAGGATAAGGATTGGGGATGGGACGGGGGGAAGGAATGGTGCCCAACCACTTGGACGGTCGGGGATTGAACGCCGACCTGCATGACGCGAGACCGTCGCTCTACCGTCCAGCCCAAGTGGTTGGACAGGACGATAGTAGGAGGCTACAAGATGACCTAGACAGACTGAATGAATGGTCCAACAAATGGCTGCTAAAGTTTAACCCAAGTAAATGCAAAGTAATGAAACTAGGCGGTGGAAACAGGAGGCCAGACACAGGATACAGAATAGGAGATGAAGTCCTTCATGAAACGGACAGAGAGAAAGATCTAGGAATTGACATCACACCAAACCTGTCTCCTGAAGCCCACATAAAAAGAATTACGTCTGCGGCATATGCGAGGCTGGCTAACATTAGAACAGCATTCAGGAACCTGTGTAAGGAATCATTCAGAATCTTGTATACCACATACGAAAGACCAATCCTGGAGTATGCGGCCCCGACATGGAGCCCATACCTTATCAAGCACATGACGAAGCTGGAAAAAGTTCAGAGGTATGCCACTAGACTAGTCCCAGAACTAAGAGGCATGAGTTACGAGGAAAGGCTGCGGGAAATGCACCTTACGACGCTGGAAGACAGAAGACTGAAGGGAGACATGATCACAACCTACAAAATTCTCAAGGGAATTGACAGGGTAGACAAGGATAAACTATTCAACACTGGTGGTACGCGAACAAGAACACAGGTGGAAACTGAGTACCCACATGAGCCACAGGGACGTTAGAAAAACTTTTTCAGTGTCAGAGTAGTTAACAGGTGGAATGCATTAGGCAGTGATGTGGTGGAGGCTGACTCCATACACAGTTTCAAGTGTAGATATGATAGAGCCCAGTAGGCTCAGGAATCTGTACACCAGTTGATTGACAGTTGAGAGGCGGGACCACAAAGCCAGAGCTCAACCCCCGCAAGCACAAATAGGTGAGTACAGTGCAGTTAACGTGGCGAAGTGGTTAGACACTCTCCTGGCGTTTTGCCAGCGTTTCGGGCCTGGGTTCGTATCCTGGCCGGAGAGGATTAACTGGGCGCCAATCCTGAACTGTACCCTCTGTTCACCCCAGCAGTTAATGGGTACACACAACCCTACAACACACACAGGGAACCCTGGCAGGAAACACAACCACACAACACACACAGGGAACCCTAGCAGGAAACAACCCCACAACACACACAGGGAACCCTAGCAGGAAACACAACCCCACAACACACACAGGGAACCCTAGCAGGAAACACAACCCCACAACACACACAGGGAACCCTAGCAGGAAACACAACCACACAACACACACAGGGAACCCTAGCAGGAAACACAACCACACAACACACACAGGGAACCCTAACAGGAAACACAACCCCACACCACACACAGGGAACCCTAGCAGGAAACACAACCCCACAACACACACAGGGAACCCTAGCAGGAAACACAACCCCACAACACACACAGGGAACCCTAGCAGGAAACACAACCCCACAACACACACAGGGAACCCTAACAGGAAACACAACCCCACAACACACACAGGGAACCCTAGCAGGAAACACAACCCCACAACACACACAGGGAACCCTAGCAGGAAACACAACCCCACAACACACACAGGGAACCCTAGCAGGAAACACAACCCCACAACACACACAGGGAATCCTAGCAGGAAACACAACCCCACAACACACACAGGGAACCCTAGCAGGAAACACAACCCCACAACACACACAGGGAATCCTAGCAGGAAACACAAATTACATATATACTTTGGGGCAACAAGAAACACTGTGTCCCAACTGTCCATGAATAACACATTGCGTGTTACCAAGTGACACGCAATATCATTTGCCCAGCACTCAGCTGGCGTCATTACAGCTCCGTCATCAATGGAGCTGTCCGTCTCCGTTGTCAAGCAACGGCTCATACAAGGAGCAAATTGCGAAAAATAAAGTAATAACCCGTTGCTTTGTTACTGAAGAAATGGCAAGTATCATGTGACCTTGAATAACTTCGGACAGTAATCATCACTCAATAAGGTTAATAATAATAATAATTTTATTACAAAATATATATATATATATATATATATATATATATATATATATATATATATATATATATATATATATATATACAAAAGAACATGATATAGTGGGTAATGAGTTGTTATAGAAATTGTATATTAAATAAAGTCGCTAATACACAAAAGTGATTTCGGCATAGGCTATAGTCAATTATAACGCGATGGGTATATACCCTTTATAGAACTCAGGGCATATATATATAAGATCTTTCGTCCCCGTATATAGGCACTGATAGGTGAGTACTCATAAGTAAGTACTGATATATTTGGCTTTGATTTCATCAGCTGGGTTGTATATATTATTGGCCCCACTTGTTTATTTGTTTTACTTGTCGTGCGGCCCCACTTGTTTATTTTAGGTATTTGCACTCGCTAATATAAAAACTGAAGATGGGAGGACTGAGACGTTCGCGGTAGTTAAAAAGTCGTAAATGAAATGACCACAGCACATTCACCACCTGCTCACTACACACCAGAAAGTTGATTTTATTTACATGAATTTACCTTGTGTACAATAAAGTTGTTTTTGTAGAATAAAGTTGCTTTGTACAATAAAGTTGCTTTTGTTGCGGTCCGCAGGCCCACATACCCACCACAGCCCGGACCAACCGGGCTGTGGTGGGTATGTGAGCCTGGGGGCCGCTCCAAGCAACAGCCTGGTGGACCAAACTCTCACCAGTCAAGCCTGGCCTCGGGCCGGACTTGGGGAGTAGAAGAACTCCCAGAACCCCATCAACCAGGTATATGTGGGCCTGCGGGCCGCTCCAAGCAACAGCCTGGTGGACCAAACTCTCACCAGTCAAGCCTGGCCTCGGGCCGGACTTGGGGAGTAGAACAACTCCCAGAACCCCATCAACCAGGTATCAACCCGACATACTGAGACGGAAGGGATCTTGGTGGCATTTTCATGGGGACGAAGATCGGTGATGATATTTTTTTTACAAACCCCAAAAAGCACACATCAAATGACTTCCATGTGAAGATGAGATGAAAGTGAAGTAGATGAGTATAATATGAGCTTATACCACTCTTGTTATGAGTATAAGAAGATCGGTAAGGAAGGCAGCGTATATAAACTTCTCCTACCCCACAACCACTGACAGCGTCACGTGATCACTCTCTCTCACACACACACTGCCAAGTTCTTGCACACACCTGACACTCCTCCACCAACCACGTCACTATGCACCACCCGCTACTATAGCTCCTCACCAAGCGGCCCCCCTACTACTATCGCACCATATACCAATCACCACCACACATCGCCACCCATCTAACATCGCGCTGTGAGCCAGTACGAGATGGCCAAATGGGCAGAGCTGGAGGCCGTTCTGAGTCAGGTCGCGCCCTTTTTCCTGACGGCCAGCCAGGCCCCGGCCGAGAACGGCAGCTCTTGGATTGGCGTCGCCGCCGTCGAGGACCCCGGCGGCGTCCCCAACTACATGATGAAGGTAAGCAGCTCCTCCTTCACCTCGCTCTCCGAGGCCTTCGTCGCCCTGGCCAACTACTTCCTTTAGGCCGTGCTCATTGGAGGGTAGATTATCTTAGGCCGAGCTCATTGGAGGGTAGATTATCTTAGGCAATGCTCAATGGAGGGTAGATTATCTTAGGCCACGTTCATCGGAGGGTAGATTATCTTAGGCCATGCTCATTGGAGGGTAGATTATCTTAGGCCACGCTCATCGGAGGGTAGATTATCTTAGGCAATGCTCATCGGAGGGTAGATTATCTTAGGCAATGCTCATCGGAGGGTAGATTATTGTTGTGCCAAAAACATCCTCACAGAGGCAGGATCCTGGTAGAAGTGGTCAGAAACACCAGAGATTGATAATAACAGTAATTCGTTTTGTAGGGGACAGGAAGCTTGTCTATATATATTATTTGTTCTTATACAGTGGCATACCCCATCCCGCCGTGGTCGAACTCTCCCCAGGATGCAACCCCATAACACTTGTCTGATTCTTGGGTACCTAGTTACTGCTAGGTGAACAGACACATTAGTTGAAATGAAACGTGCCCAACCGCTTCTGTCCCGCCCGGGAATCGAACCCACCATTGTGAGTCGAGAAGGCAGACATCATAGCCGAGGGAGGGCAAAATAACACGGCATGGTACTCTATTCTAGGACTGTTTAAGAACCAGCATTCTTTGGGAGAAGGTACTCAGGGCCTCTTGAGTATTACATGCTCATATTCACGACCCAAAGCTTATGAGTTTTGTGTAAACAAATATGTTTGTACTTGCGGGGGTTGAGCTTTGGCTCTTTGGTCCCGCCTCTCAACTGTCAGTCCACTGGTGTACAGATTCCCGAGGTATTTTTGTGTATTTTCCTGTTGGTTAATGTCTCCAGCGGCCTTGACTAGGATAGGATGGCTTCAGAGGATTACCACACACTTTTAGTTTTTCCAGCTATGTATTGTACTGCCAGTGTCCTCGGGCTGACGGCTTCGGCGAGTGGGTAATTCCACGAGTTTAGTACCAGGGAGAACAGGTATTTTTCCTGTGGTTTACAGAGAGTTGGTAAGACAGCCATGGTGGACCTTGTGAAGATCTATCCTTGTTATGTTTCACGGCGCTGTGTGGATTGGTTGATGATTCACAGCCTATTGTTTACATTGTCAGTATGTAAACAAATCTCATCTGTTCCGTGAACTGTATAAAGCTGATTAGAATCTTGTGAGTGCTTGGCAACGCTTATCTGTGAGTGCTTGACAACGTTTATCTGTGAGTGCTTGACAACGTTTGGTAGAGTTTTTCATGGGGTCTCCAAATTTAATTTCTCAGGGGGAGTAGCGGATTGAGTTGTCAGTGACGAAGTGGCTTGACCTGATGGTCCTTCACCCTCGTTATTGTTAAGGATTTTGAAACACTATCTTGGTGTTCATTACATCGTCGGGCAGGTGATTACATGGGTTGATATGGGACAGCAAGCAAGTCAAGCGTCCGCTCACTCTTCCTCGTCCACCTACTCGTCCTCGTCCGCCCATTCGTACCTCGTAATTTCGGCACAGGGTTTCATCAATATGGGAGTCACCGTGGATTTGTTGACCCTGGAGCACATGTATTTCTAACTCCTTCATATATATCTATATTATTGTTTTAATTTAGCGTCGAGGGGCGAGTTTATAGGGCAGCGGCACTCACCGTTTGAGTGGCCGTACCATCCTAGCAGTATGGTACCACAACACCCCCGAATAGGAAGAAAACCCGGCCGCTGGGTTTATAAACATGCCGGTGCATCTAGTATATTGCAGATATGCCGGTGCATATCTGATGGTGTTGTGCTACGCCAGACGATCGCTGGAGTAGTTCCCAGAATACCAGCACTGTTGATGAACGGACCCCTGGCGCGCGCGCGCGCGCGCGTGTGTGTGTGTGTGTGTAATTGTACTCACCTGTGTGCTTGTGTGTGTGTGTGTGTGTGTGTGGTCCCGTGTGTGTGTGTGTCATGTGTGTGTGTGTGTGTGTGTGTGTGTGTGTGTATTTGGGATCTCTTTTTTTTCCCATTCCCTTTCCCCCCTCCCATCTCTTTCCCTATCCTTCGATCTCCCACAACCCCCAACCACCTCTCCTCTTTCACCATCTCCTTCCCTCTCTCTCTCAAAAAAAATATATATATATATATAAAAAATATATATATATATATATATATATATATATATATATATATATAACGAAGAACTGAAATTGGTAAATAGATTTACGGACAAGACAACAACAACCAGGAGATGATAGTTGTGTGTGTTGTGGTGTTCTCTACAAGAATAAGCTCTACAAGAACTCTACAAGAAGGTACCAAGCACGTTGTAATCGTGACATAGTGAGCGGAGCGAGGCTTTGGGGCGTCCAGTGCGCACCGCCGCCTTCATCTCGGGCATTGTGGCGTGTTGTTGCTTTGACTGTGGCAACCCTGGTCCCCCCCCCCACACTGGGTCCCACCACACTGGTCCCACCACACTGGGTCCCCCCCCCACACTGGGTCCCCCCCCACACTGGGGAACTGCCTTACCCACTGCCTAGTACCCCACCACACTGGGATGGTGGGGCATACAGAGCTAGATGTCACGCCGCGGTAAACACTGATAGGCAAATGATGCTAGGCAAGTACTCCCTCCATCACCGCCTTCGTCACCATGAGTGGTGAGGGATGGTGAGTGGCGCGTGACACCTGATACCTGGCCAGGCTAGCGTGCGGGGATGGGTCCGAGGTTTAGTGGTCTTAGACTGGCTCCTCAGGCCACTCCGTGTACTATCCCACACACCGGCCACACACCACACACACACACACACACACTTAGTACCCAGATGAGCCACAGAGACGTTAGAAAGAATTTTTTCAGTGTCAGAGTAGTTAATAAATGGAATGCACTAGGAAGTGATGTGGTGGAGGCTGACTCCATACACAGTTTCAAATGTAGATATGATAGAGCCCAGTAGGCTCAGGAATCTGTACACCAGTTGATTGACAGTTGAGAGGCGGGACCAAAGAGCCAAAGCTCAACCCCCGCAAGCACAATTAGGTGAGTACAATTAGGTGAGTACACACACACACACCACGTTTGCTACAGTCACTCAGCCGGTTAAACACGCTCGAGTCTGGCCAATTACTGGTTTGGTGACCGTGCCACAACCTAGACTATCACATTAACACAAAGATAATATTGAATATTCGTGCAATACTTCATTATAAATTATATAACAATAACAGATCTTTGTATGAGACGGTATTTGATCTGTGGTTCAAATGTATTTGATCTAGTGGTAATGTATGTGTCTGCAGAGTCCACGGTGAGGGTTCCATCTCATTTCATTACGTCTGGGAGAGTCAAGGAACGGGGGTTCGATCCCACTAACAGCCTTAAGAGTGTCTCGGACTCACCACGTAATGCAAAATTTAAAGGCAATCAACATAATTATGTCCCGTGTTTCACGGAATTGATTTATTTTCCAAATCATGGGCCCCTATAGCTTGGAGATTCACGTGTGTGTTAACCAAACACACACCTGGCTTGTAAGCACACATACACACACATACACACACACACACGTGTATGTGTTAACCTAAGCACACATACACACACACACACGTGTATGTGTTAACCGCAGGCTGCACAATAGAGTAGTATGGAGTGTAACTCGGAGTTGTGTGGTGTCGTCAGAGCGTGTGGTGGGTGATGTGGTTGACGGTGGTGGAGTACCTGGCACTGTGGCTCCAAGGGGCGCGCCTTCCCGTCCTTCACGACAACGTCGTCTCCCTTCTCCACGCCACCCTCTTCGAAGTCACCAAGTAAGATGAGTTGTAATAATAATAATAATAATAATAATAATAATAATAATAATAATAATAATAATAACATATTTATATGATAAACAATTCGACCAAGTGCAAACTGTTAGTATTTATTCTCACTTCGCTATATGTAACTGAATGTGGAAATAAATCGTAGAATTTAGAAACAGCCTAATAACATATGTTCAAGACATGTATAATTCTTTAATTAAAAATTGTGCTACAAGAATTTTTAACCGAATATCTGCAGTTTACTAACTGGTAGTAAATATGGGTGACTGTAGCTTTTTAACGCAGGATAAGCAAATCAAATTATGGAACTAGCTTCTATACTTGTGTTCGGGCTCGAATCCATTGTTGATATAATAATTAATTTAACTGTGTAACTAGCTTATCAAGTCTACAACTTGCTTAGACTTGCTTAACGAACCCCCAAATGAATTTTGGGGTTCAGTTTCTGAGCTCATTATTATAAGTGCCTCTGTAACCCTTTCCACTAACGCCCATAGGATGGGTAATGGGTCCACTACCGCCAACGGGATGGGTATGGGGTGCATAATAAGTGAACTGAACTAAAACACACTCTTTCTTCCCCTCCCCAAGATCTCCCCCTCTCCCTGTCTCCTCTTCTACTTCCCTTTCCACCCTCTCTTCCAATTTATTCCTCTCTATCTTTCTCCCCCCAACATCTCCTGTCTCCTAATCTCCCCTATCTACCAATCTCCTCTTCTCCCCTCTTCCCCTCCTTTCCACCCATCTCCCCCTTTTTTTCAAATATCCTCTCCCCCCCCCTCCCTCTCTCTCTTCAAACATCACAAATCTGTCTCATAAATCTGTGGACTTTGCCAGCCACCTTTCACTGATTACGTGGGAGATGGTCACTATTAGGCCCGAACTCCACCCTCTTAAATATCTTATAGAATAGTAGACACATAGCCCATGTGTATAGCTCAGTATAGCGGACACATAGCCAGTATGTATACCACACAGCACAATGGACGTAATAGGACTAATTGGATTGACCCCGACCAGCATACGTCCGCCCCTTCCATTTGCAAAGTTGGGTGAGGCTAACGACAAGCATCTGACCTCCACACTAACACAAACACAAACCAACAGACATTACTAGAGAGATAGATTGCCAGTTTACCTGCACACACAGTGATACTTGGCCGACTCCTCAAGAAGCAGCACCTATCGCAGGAGCAACTCAGTCCTTCACCCAGGTTGACGCGCCACAGAACACAAGAAAAATGAAAGTCAGTTAGATTACAGGTGTTGCAACTGACACCCTGGTACAATAATAATGCCGTCGGCGACGATGGTCAGCCCACCGACCTCCACACTCATCCGCATGCATCCTTACCGGGTGACGCCAGAGAAAGAGGTCACCATATACAACAGGAAGTGAACTAACTTCCTCAACACGGTCTCATCCGTGTTGAGACGGATGAGACCGTGTTGAACTGACACCGAGCACCGAGAGCTGGATGCCAACACTCAGCTCTTGGGGCTCGGCATGTATGCTGGTGCTCAATCAGGATGGCACCTGGAGACTGTGTACCAACTTCACCAGGTTAAACAACCAAACTGTGGTTGACACTTTTCCTATATATATATATATTATATATATATATTATATATATATATAATTTATATAAAGGGTGTTCGTGCGTGGTCTGGAGTACGGGACATACACGTGGGTGTGGCAACACTATGCCCTTCTTCCTTCATTGGGCAATTCCCTCCTGGCCATGGTGACCCTGGTGACTGTGATCGACTTGATCTACTACTGGCTTCATCGCGCCAATCATGGTTAGTTACCGTAGTCTGTTTTAGTAGCAGTAGTGTACTATTTAGCCTGGTATATACTAATTAAAATGCCCCCTTTTTACCGAGTAGGTCATAATATCCAAGATATTATATAATACTATCCAAGATATTATAGATTATTACCACATATATACTTGTCTAAGGTGGCGCGGGTTCCATATAGCCTAACGTAGCTAGGCTGCAGAATAAATAAAAAATACATTTATAAAGTATCTTATTTTTATTTTCACTGTTCTGTAGTACTTATTTTATTTGTAAACTTAACTGTAATGTCATTAATTAAATCAAACCGTTTAGTACTCAAATGCTATGGGAAATTGTGGGATTCTTTGCATTTTCATATGTATATTTAACTCGTTATATATCATTGATTTTATTATAAATTTGTTCATAATATAATTGTAATGCTTTATTTTATCTTTATATAATCTAACACCTTCGTTTTTACAGAATTAACCAATATGTTTCTACATTATCTATGACCTAAGTTCCTACATACTCTAAAACTCAATATTATATACTGCATGCATATATATACGTATATGCGTATATATACGTATACATGCGTATATATACGTATATGCATGCATGCATATACGTGTGCATACTTGCAAATATGTACAAGTTATACATATTTGCACGGTTGGTGCCTCGTACAGAGATCATGGTACTGTGGGCGATTCACCAAGTTCATCACAGTAGCCAGAACCTGACGGTGACGGTGGGGCTCCGTCACTCCCCCTTACAGCGGCTCTTCTCGTGGGTGTTCTACGTGCCCCTGGCCGTGCTGGGCGTGCACCCCGCCCACATGTTGGCCCACGCTCAGTTCAACACTATCTTCCAGTGTTGGATCCACACGCACGCAATCCGCACCATCGGCCCTCTACAGTATGTCTTCAACTCCCCGGCCCACCACCGTGTCCACCATGGTACGTTCACTCACAGACACACACACAGACACACACACACACACACACACACGTACGTACGTGGTGGAGGCTGACGCCATACACAGTTTCAAATGTAGATATGATAAGAGCCCAGTAGGCTCAGGAACCTGTACACCTGTTGATTGACAGTTGAGAGACGGGACCAAAGAGCCAAAGCTCAACCCCCGCAAGCATAAATAGGTGAGTACACACACACATACATAATTTTGGCACCTGACGAAAGAGTTACGCAAGCACTTACGAACCTGTACATCTTTCCTCAATCTTTGACGGCTTTGGTTACATTTATTAAACAGTTTACAAGCATGAAAACTTGCCAATCAACTGTTGTTATTGTTATAAACAGCCTCCTGGTGCTTCGGAGCTCATTAACTGTTTAATAATTGTAAACAAAGCCGCCAAAGATTGAGAAAAGATGTACAGGTTCGTAAGTGCTTGCGTAACTGCTTCGTGAATCTGGGCCCAAGACTATAATTTGGAAATGACAGTATAGGGAGTCCGAGGATTCGATCCCATAGCATGGCGTCAATATTTTGCGCATTAAACTTTACCGTTTGCAATTGTGCAATTTATGATGGCCGTTGTTAGCGGAGGATCGTTGTTAACGGAGGATAGTAAGATGATCCCGATGTCTGGGGTGAGCGTCCACACCAGTTGCCAGGGTCTCAGGTGGCGCCATCGTGTCTCACTTGTTGCTCGGCTCTGGCTTTGTCTGCCCTCGCTCTCATACTGTCACTCAACCGTCACACACCGGTCACTACCGTCACACAATGGTTACTACCGTCACACACCGGTCACTCTACCGTCACACACCGGTCACTCAACCGTCACACACCGGTCACTACCGTCACACAACGGGGGTATGGTCAGCCCGTAGTGGACTTACCTGGCACAGGAGCGGGGCAAGTAGCACGGGCTATGATGAGTCCGTAGCCGTAGTGGACTTACCTGGCACAGGAGCGGGGCAAGTAGCACGGGCTATGGTGAGCCCGGAGTGGACTTACCTGGCACAGGAGCGGGGTAAGTAGCACGGGCTATGGTGAGCCCGTAGTGGACTTACCTGGCACAGGAGCAGTGCAAGTAGCACGGGCTATGGTGAGCCCGTAGTGGACTTACCTGGCACAGGAGCGGGGTTATAACTTGTGGCAACACTAATTTAACCTTGTCGATGTTGCGTCAGCATGGAGCGCCCGGTGTGGGAGAGTGAACCGGTGCTATTACCAATCAGTGACTACGCGGAGGTGAAGTCTACCTCTCCATGCAACCTGTCCTAGAAAGAACGTCGCATTGCGCTCCTATGCGTTACATAAGGCCGACAATTATCGTACTAGAAAATGGAAGCGGCTGGCGAAAGTGACGTACTGTCCCGTTTTTTTTTTTTTTTTTTTTTTTTTTTTTTTGAGATATATACAAGAGTTGTTACATTCTTGTACAGCCACTAGTACGCGTAGCATTTCGGGCAAGTCCCTGGAATACGATCCCCGCCGCGAAGAATCGTTTTTTCATCCAAGTACACATTTTACTGTTGCGTTAAACAGAGGCTACAGTTAAGGTATTGCGCCTAGTAAATCCTCCCCGGCCAGGATACGAACCCATGACAAAGCGCTCGCGGAACGCCAGGCGAGTGTCTTACCACTACACCACGGAGACTGTTAACGGAGGTTGATTCTGTGTTGGATCCTCTGCATAGTAGGGTAGAAGAGGACACTTTAAATTCAGTCAGCTACAAGTTCTTTCGTCGAGGCCTTGGCAATTGAACTGTGACCAAGCCCAGCTCCTCAGACGCTATAACACCACCCAACCCATCCTCCATGAATAATAACAAATTGGAACAATAGTTATAACAAACATCTTTTGAAATCCATGATCAACATTATCTAAAAAAAAAGAATCTTAGCGATTAAACTTTTAAACACACACTCAGGAATCTGTACACCGGTTGATTGACAGTTGAGAGGCGGAACCAAAGAGCCGAAGCTCTTTATAGGCACGTCGCCACCATATAGGCAGGTCTCCACCATATAGGCAGGTCTCCACCATATAGGCAGGTCTCCACCATATAGGCAGGTCTCCACCATATAGGCAGGTCTCCACCATATAGGCAGGTCTCCACCATATAGGCAGGTCTCCACCATACAGGCAGGTCTCCACCATATAGGCAGGTCTCCACCATACAGGCAGGTCTCCACCATATAGGCAGGTCTCCACCATATAGGCAGGTCTCCACCATACAGGCAGGTCTCCACCATACAGACAGGTCTCCACCATATAGACAGGTCTCCACCAGGCAGGTCTCCACCATACAGACAGGTCTCCACCATACAGACAGGTCTCCACCATACAGACAGGTCTCCACCATACAGACAGGTCTCCACCATATAGGCAGGTCTCCACCATATAGGCAGGTCTCCACCATATAGGCAGGTCTCCACCATACAGACAGGTCTCCACCATATAGGCAGGTCTCCACCATATAGGCAGGTCTCCACCATACAGACAGGTCTCCACCATACAGACAGGTCTCCACCATATAGGCAGGTCTCCACCATATAGACAGGTCTCCACCATACAGACAGGTCTCCACCATATAGACAGGTCTCCACCATACAGACAGGTCTCCACCATATAGGCAGGTCTCCACCATATAGGCAGGTCTCCACCATACAGACAGGTCTCCACCATACAGACAGGTCTCCACCATACAGACAGGTCTCCACCATACAGACAGGTCTCCACCATATAGGCAGGTCTCCACCATATAGACAGGTCTCCACCATACAGACAGGTCTCCACCATACAGACAGGTCTCCACCATACAGACAGGTCTCCACCATATAGATAGCAGGTCTCCACCATACAGACAGGTCTCCACCATAAAAGAGTTGCATGGTGTGTGGGGGATAATATTACCTAGGAAGCTCCCTGCCTGCCCGCCGTCTGATCAAATTCCCCAGGAGCGGTCGGCATCATCTACCGCTGGTTTAAGAGGTTATCTGTCATACGATCACCATCCCGTAAGGCTTCTTCTAAGAATCAGCGTGAGAGGCCTCCAACAGTACGATCCCTTAGCAACACCGAAATTCCAATATATTTAATATTATCTACCTGATTATTTATCTTTAGAAATAGTATTAAGAGGCTGTAAATGAAGTTTTTGATTTGGGTATTAAATAAAAATGAGAGTATTGCTTCACCGCAGGAAGCAACTTATACTGTCTAGACAAGAACTACGGTGGCATTCTTATCCTATGGGACCGTCTCTTCGGCACCTTCCAGGAGGAGCTGCCGGATCAAGAGATCGTCTATGGTATTCTCACCCAACCTGACAGCTACAACCCTCTCTACCACCAGGTGAGTCCTCACAACCACTATGGGCCGGCTACAGGAATTAAATCTTATACTTCGCTGGAAGACATTATAGAGTTAGGGGAGACATGAGTACCATATACAAAATTCTCGTTGGACATTATTAGGACAGACTGTTAAGTATGGATGGCGTACGAAAATGGGAGCACAAGGTGGAAACAGACTATGTAGAATTTTGTAATGCCGTGAACAGATAGAAGGTACCAAGAAATTTGGTAATTAAGAGACAATTTAATTTTACGTTCCTTGTGCTAGTCTAAACTCACTAAGCTAGACTTGCTAGACAAGACTTGCTAGACAAACTTGCTAGACAAGACTTGCTAGGTAAGACACACTAGGCTAGACTCGCTAGGCTAGACTTAACAGGCAAGAGTAACTAGGCTACACTTCGAGTACGAGCGCTTGTGTACCTTCGAGCACGAGTGCTTGTGTACCTTGTCTCTGTTCCCGCAGGTGTTCTACCTAAAGCTGGCAATGGAGAAAGCTTGGGCCATGGGCAGCTGGCGCGAAGGGCTGTGCTCGTTGGTCAAGGGCCCCAGTTGGACGCCCGGGTCCCCTTGGACGGGCTGGGACAAGGACAAGCCCAACGTGAGTATATACACGCACGCCACTGCCTTCGTGTACTGGGGCCAGACTCATGAAAGCAGTTACGCAAGCACTTACGAACGTGTACATCTTTTCTCAATCTTTGACGGCTTTGGTTACATTTATTAAACAGTTTACAAGCATGAAAACTTGCCAATCAACTGTTGTTAGTGTTATAAACAGCCTCCTGGTGCTTCGGAGCTCATAAACTGTTTAATAATTGTAAACAAAGCCGCCAAAGATTGAGAAAAGATGTACAGGTTCGTAAGTGCTTGCGTAACTGCTTTCGTGAATCTAGCTCCAGGTCTGGAGTTGCCCTTATCAGCTGTTGCAGCAACACCACAAAAATAGCTGCTACTTTTTTTTGGTACTGAATCTGAAGTTGTTGCTGCTGCTACTTTTGAGGTTGTTATAACACAATTATAGAAGTAACAGCAGCAGTAGCAAACTATATCGTACAAGTCACAGTAACAATTATTGTATCCTTGATAGCTAAGTGTTACCGTAATTATTATATATTAATATAAATAAGATTACATAAACAATTTGGTCTCAAAACCAAATAAAAAAAATTATGAGGCAGGAGTTTAAGAAAGAGATTACACAGGGCAAGAATCCATCAAGCATCTAAGGGTCTGCCTACGAAACCTGTTCATCTTTCCTCCATCATGGCGCCTTAGTTTACATATATTAAACAATTTATGAACTCAGAAGCCCAACGAAGTTGTCTAAACAATAACAACATTCAGCTGCACGTCAAAGATTGACATAATCATGTCAAATTATGTATGTTAAAGTCATTGACATAATGTGAAATGACATAACGTCATTGACTTATGTCAAAGACTGACATAATCAAAGATTGACATTGTTTAATAAATACATACTAGGATTTAATAAATGCCGACTACTAATTACCAGTAATGACTAATGAAGAGTCCGATGCATAGAAAACGTACTTATGTGTGAGCTCTTTCTTTTGTTAGTACCTTATATTTGTAATGTTCGTTTCGACAACGTACAAAACGCGACCTATTACAGTTGAGAGGACAAGTTGATGCCTGAGATGATGACGTGTTTCAGATCTCAGTTTCCCGGGAGTACCGCAGAGTGAGAGCCACCACTCTCACTCACTGCTATGTTATTTTGCACTTCCTGGCAGCTCTCACCCTCACAGGACACCTCACTGTTCGTACGGTATGTATTCTTCCCTCACCTGCCTCTATAGCCCCTGGCCACACCCTCACCTGCCTCTCTAGCCCCTGGCCACACCCTCACCTGCCTCTATAGCCCCTGGCCACACCCTCACCTGCCTCTATAGCCCCTGGCCACACCCTCACCTGCCTCTATAGCCCCTGGCCACACCCTCACCTGCCTCTATAGCCCCTGCCCACACCCTCATCTGCCTCTATAGCCCCTGGCCACACCCTCACCTGCCTCTATAGCCCCTGGCCACACCCACACCTGCCTCTATAGCCCCTGGCCACACCCTCACCTGCCTCTATAGCCCCTGGCCACACCCTCACCTGCCTCTATAGCCCCTGGCCACACCCTCACCTGCCTCTATAGCCCCTGCCCACACCCTCACCTGCCTCTATAGCCCCTGGCCACACCCTCACCTGCCTCTATAGCCCCTGCCCACACCCTCACCTGCCTCTATAGCCCCTGCCCACACCCTCACCTGCCTCTATAGCCCCTGGCCACACCCTCACCTGCCTCTATAGCCCCTGCCCACACCCTCACCTGCCTCTATAGCCCCTGGCCACACCCTCACCTGCCTCTATAGCCCCTGGCCACACCCTCACCTGCCTCTATAGCCCCTGGCCACACCCTCACCTGCCTCTATAGCCCCTGGCCACACCCTCACCTGCCTCTATAGCCCCTGGCCACACCCTCACCTGCCTCTATAGCCCCTGGCCACACCCTCACCTGCCTCTATAGCCCCTGCCCACACCCTCACCTGCCTCTATAGCCCCTGCCCACACCCTCACCTGCCTCTATAGCCCCTGGCCACACCCTCACCTGCCTCTATAGCCCCTGGCCACACCCTCACCTGCCTCTATAGCCCCTGGCCACACCCTCACCTGCCTCTATAGCCCCTGGCCACACCCTCACCTGCCTCTATAGCCCCTGGCCACACCCTCACCTGCCTCTATAGCCCCTGGCCACACCCTCACCTGCCTCTATAGCCCCTGGCCACACCCTCACCTGCCTCTATAGCCCCTGGCCACACCCTCACCTGCCTCTATAGCCCCTGGCCACACCCTCACCTGCCTCTATAGCCCCTGGCCACACCCTCACCTGCCTCTATAGCCCCTGGCCACACCCTCACCTGCCTCTATAGCCCCTGGCCACACCCTCACCTGCCTCTATAGCCCCTGGCCACACCCTCACCTGCCTCTATAGCCCCTGGCCACACCCTCACCTGCCTCTATAGCCCCTGGCCACACCCTCACCTGCCTCTATAGCCCCTGGCCACACCCTCACCTGCCTCTATGGCCCCTGGCCACACCCTCACCTGCCTCTATAGCCCCTGGCCACACCCTCACCTGCCTCTATAGCCCCTGGCCACACCCTCACCTGCCTCTATGGCCCCTGGCCACACCCTCACCTGCCTCTATAGCCCCTGGCCACACCCTCACCTGCCTCTATAGCCCCTGGCCACACCCTCACCTGCCTCTATAGCCCCTGGCCACACCCTCACCTGCCTCTATAGCCCCTGGCCACACCCTCACCTGCCTCTATAGCCCCTGGCCACACCCTCACCTGCCTCTATAGCCCCTGGCCACACCCTCACCTGCCTCTATAGCCCCTGGCCACACCCTCACCTACCTCTATAGCCCCTGGCCACACCCTCACCTGCCTCTATAGCCCCTGGCCACACCCTCACCTACCTCTATAGCCCCTGGCCACACCCTCGCCTGCCTCTATAGCCCCTGGCCACACCCTCACCTGCCTCTATAGCCCTTGGCCACACCCTCACCTGCCTCTATAGCCCCTGGCCACACCCTCACCTGCCTCTATAGCCCCTGGCCACACCCTCACCTGCCTCTATAGCCCCTGGCCACACCCTCACCTACCTCTATAGCCCCTGGCCACACCCTCGCCTGCCTCTATAGCCCCTGGCCACACCCTCACCTGCCTCTATAGCCCTTGGCCACACCCTCACCTGCCTCTATAGCCCCTGGCCACACCCTCACCTGCCTCTATAGCCCCTGGCCACACCCTCACCTACCTCTATAGCCCCTGGCCACACCCTCATCTGCCTCTATACCCTACTGCTGGCCTGGGTGAAAATTGTGTATATAATAACACAAGGGTCCACGAACTCCAAACTGTACAGAACAAACAAATACATTCCTGAACAATGGATAGCAAAGAACACCACAGTTATTAGTCTATAATAGATGTGCATGTTATGTTTATAAAATGTTTATTCAGGTAAGGTACATACATACAAGAGATTTTACATAAATTGATCGATTTATAGATGGAGCTAGTACATACAATGCCTAGAGCCACTATTACGCAAAGTTAATGTTAGTTAAGATCACAGCTACCACACTCAGGCTATGTACACCAAGAAGTTTACAGTATTCTTCAAGAAACTGTATACAACTGAGTTCACATTATTTCTTAATTCTGGTAAATATTAATGTTTACTAAAAGGTTAGTAAGAGGATATTTTTGGTTTGTTGATGATCGTGGCAGATGGTGTAATGTAATGATAGTGACAGGTGGTGTATGTGATGATAATGACAGGTGGTGTATGTAATGATAGTGACAGGTGGTGTATGTGATGATAGTGACAGGTGGTGTATGTAATGATAGTGACAGGTGGTGTATGTAATGATAGTGACAGGTGGTGTATGTAATGATAGTGACAGGTGGTGTATGTGATGATAGTGACAGGTGGTGTATGTGATGATAGTGACAGGTGGTGTATGTAATGATAGTGACAGGTGGTGTATGTAATGATAGTGACAGGTGGTGTATGTAATGATAGTGACAGGTGGCGTATATAATGATAGTGACAGGTGGTGTATGTGATGATAGTGACAGGTGGTGTATGTGATGATAGTGACAGGTGGTGTATGTAATGATAGTGACAGGTGGTGTATGTAATGATAGTGACAGGTGGTGTATATAATGATAGTGACAGGTGGTGTATATAATGATAGTGACAGGTGGTGTATATAATGATAGTGACAGGTGGTGTAACACACAATATCTTGCGTGATACAGAGTGGGTCTCCCATGGAGGCGTTTGTGTACGGTACGGTGGTGGTGGCCGGGCTGGCAGCCATGGGCATGGTGTATGATGGGTCCCCTTACACTCGCCTTGTGGAGCTGACCCGATGCTCTTCTGGCCTCCTGCTGTGCCTTCTGCTGCCTTCTCCCGTCTCCTCCTTCCTCCCGTACCTGGCCACGCTCTACGCCCTCTCTCTTCCTCTCTGGTGCCTCGGCCCCGCTACGGTACTCGGCCATCCCGGGTACAACAACCTCAACGCCGCCACCTGCAAGAAGTAACTCTTTAATACTGTTGCAAGCAGTAACTGTTTTTGTCATACTGTTGCAAGCAGTAACTGTGTTTGTCATACTGTTGCAAGCAGTAACTGTGTTTGTAATACTGTTGCAAGCAGTAACTGTGTTTGTAATACTGTTGCAAGCAGTAACTGTGTTTGTAATACTGTTGCAAGCCGTAACTGTGTTTGTAATACTGTTGCAAGCCGTAACTGTGTTTGTAATACTGTTGCAAGCCGTAACTGTGTTTGTAATACTGTTGCAAGCCGCAACTATGTTTGTAATACTGTTGCAAGCAGCAACTGTGTTTGTAATACTGTTGCAAGCAGTAACTGTTTGTAATACTGTTGCAAGCAGTAACTGTGTTTGTAATACTGTTGCAAGCAGTAACTGTGTTTGTAATACTGTTGCAAGCAGTAACTGTGTTTGTAATACTGTTGCAAGCAGTAACTGTGTTTGTAATACTGTTGCAAGCAGTAACTGTGTTTTTATTCCTAGTTCATACATTAAAATGTGTTTTAATAATAGTGCAAGCAGTAAATGTGCTTTAATAATACTATAAGCAGTACATGTGTTTTAATACTAGTGCAAGCAGTTAATATGTTGTAATGTTAGTGCAAACAGTAAATGTGTTTAAATAACAGTACAAGCAATAAATGTGTTTAAATAACAGTACAAGCAGTAAATGTATTTAAATAACAGTGCAAGCAGTAAATGTGTTTAAATAACAGTGCAAGCAGTAAATGTATTTAAATAACAGTGCAAGCAGTAAATGTTTTCAAATAACAGTACAAGCAGTAAATGTTTTTAAATAACAGTGCAAGCAGTAAATGTTTTTAAATAACAGTGCAAGCAGTAAATGTTTTTAAATTACAGTACAAGCAGTAAATGTCTTTTAATATCCTTGTGGTAGTCTTTTAGCTCTCTGTCTCCAGTTAGGTGCTGGAGAATGACTGTGCCAGTGCTGGCATTTAAAATTAACTTGGCATTTTTGGAGATCCAAACTGGGTTCTCAGCAATACAAGACAACCATGCCAGGCAGTTGGTCTGGCACTTGGTCTACTTGGCAATATCAAACAAATCCTGTAACAAAGATAAGTTGGGATGAATCATGCATGTTCAAGTGCAGGAGGTACGGCGCCGAGCTCCCACAGTATGAGAAGGGTAAAAGGTGCCATTGCCACGAGAGATGGAACCACTCCAGGTGACAAGGTGGTCACCGCTGGGGGCTTGGGGCTCAATCCTGCCATGGAAGTGGGGGTGGGAATGGAGAGGGTCAGTCGGGAGAGTCAACAAAGGAGCCTGGTCTGGGTCCAACATAGCTGGGGCTGTGGAGCCCGATCTTCCATCACTGGCAGATTCTGGAGGCCTGGTTGTCCACTCCATGAGCCTGTGTAAAAGAAATCATTTCAGTATCCATACAGCATTAATTTCAAAAGCCTGGGTCTCGGAGCCAAGGGATATTAACTACCAGGGTAGCTAGGGAGGCCGAGTCTGGCCAGTGCAGGAAGGGGTGCGTCGTCCCCCAGTCCGTCCTCCTAGGGTTTCCCAACGTCAAGAAACTGTTGTACTAAAGTCCCCTATTCTAATCTACCAGAGGACACAAAACAGAAAATGGGACAGTAAGCCAATTTCACGAACTGCACCATTTTCTAGTACAGTATGACAATTTTTGGCCTTAGGTAAATTATATGTCAAAATGTGGCGTTCTATTAGAACAGGTTGCTCCCCCTTTTTAACAGGGAAGTCCTACTGCTTCGTACATTCTCCCACACTAGTACAAAGACCTCTGTCTCACTTTCGCCCTAGCCTGGACATCCAACTATCTACCAAGGGCAGCCCCTCCAGCGGAAGATCTGTTGACCCAAACAAGATTTCTACTGGTGTGTACTTCAGCACGTACAACACCCGGAGGGGGGGGGGGCCAAGGCAACCCTCATTGATACCAGGGAGTCGTACTTGAGCCCTCTCACCACGACAAGGGTAGGGGGGAAGGGGAGGGGAGGGGAAGGGAGGCACTTTAGAGGTGGAGCCCAGTACTAAAGTAGACTCTTAGTCTACATACACTACATAGTCTTCACAGCTTGGTTCCTTCCTTTGATAATGCCTTACTTACTTAGTGTACATACACTGAGAAGTGTGGTATACTTCTTGGTGTATATCCAATACCCCTTGTATCCAGATGTTGGAGTATCCAGATGTTAAAAAAAAAAAATTTAAATGAAAATTTATTTTCAAATTACAGTACAGTTTTAAAACTAATACTGTACTGATTTTGGTATAACAATTTATGAATGTATTCTGTCATTTATATTATTAAAAACACAATTTTTATATTACATCATAAAAATATATACAGTATAACAAAAGTACTGTACCCATACATCAATGAACCTTAAACAACATATTAGGTTCCAATTAATCTACTGTAAGAAGCCCTCACTGTATTTGTAGTAACATTTATTGTTAGCTTCTCTTGATTAGTCTCAGTTTTGTGTTTGTATTTCTACACGCACAGTTCATCATATTTTTTATTGCAATCTTTACAGTCTTTATAGCTCCTGGCCTCTCAGTCCTATCTGTCCTCTCATATACACCGTAACTTGTATGCCAGCATCTCCACCACAATAAATATGGGGGTGCTATGGAAAGTAGTGGCTCACAAATATCAACGCTTCCTATCCATTCGTTGGTTGGGTTAGGTGGGTGTCTTGGGTTCACGCATGTGCATTTTAGTACCCTGTATTATGCCCATTGTGACAACTCAAGAGAATGGGCTGCCGAGTCTCCAATTTTTTATTATTAAGCATCTCTGTCCTTTTCCTAAGCAAAATATATCCTTGTTGGATAACTGTTTTTAATCTCCAAGAAAATAATTTTCTGCCATGTTTCCTTGAGGCCTACTAATTAACTTGATGTACAGTATTATAGAAAATGAGACTATTTTATCTGTAAATGTTTTCCTCAAGTCCCATTCAATATGGAGACTGAAAAAAATACCTAAAATTGTTAAATACATATGAGTCTTGAGCATTATGTGTAATTGAAGAGTGAAAAACCCATTCTTACAAATACCACACAACATTAAATAAATGGTAACTAATATTATATTACACACCTCTTCAAAGTCAGCAATGTTTACGATTTTTGTAATTACCTTTATATAATTAACTGCTTATCTACACACAAACAAGCACATTCTTAATTATTAAAGTTAAAAATGCAGCAATTTATCTTATAGAATAAATAAATACAGTACCAGTATATACAGTACTAAATTTACACACATGATCTACATCACTCCAAACTCATGTTGCAAAATATTCATTCAGTGTTTCACAAATATTGACACTTGTACAGTACAGTACTTTTAATTTGATTAGTCTGTTCAAATTCATCCTTTAAAAATACAAATAAAGTCACTCAATGCTCAGAAAATGCTTAATCAGTACAGTATTTATGTATCATTTATCAAACCCAATTAACAGTGCATATTCACAAGTCATGTGCCTTGTTCTGCAGACAGCCAGGGACAGTGATCCAGTGATCACTGATGAGCCTCAACAATCCAATATTTTAACAACTTGTTTGGTAGCAACAATTTGAGCTACTGATATAAGGCTTTGATTATATGTTTTCTGGCAACACTTAAAATTATTGCAACCAGTGTTACCATAATGCCATACACATCTTAGTGCAAACACTGCAGACTTTTATATACTGTTTATTTCTTTAGAAGTTTAAGTAAAAATCACTATATGGTGAAGGTATATTATGCAAACATTCTTTCTCTAATATATTACCTATATGTTGCCTGCAGTACAGTATTTCACTTTCATTAAAGTTCCTGTAACCTCTTTCAATACCATTTTACTTACTTCTTCCCATAAAAAACTTTTTAGCCACCAGTGTCCTTTGTAGTGTCATTTATATTAGACATTATTGCTAAAATATCATTAGATTATAACTAATAATGCATTCAAATTGACACATTACCAATTCTTTACAAATAACTTGAGCTATAAATCTGTGTACTGTATTATACTTGTCAAGAAAATTATAAACATTAAGTTGTATATATAATGACCACAAAAAGTGAAAAGCTCCTGCTTTGCTGGTAACACTATATGCCATCTACAGTACTCTACAAACATTTTCTTCAAACTTTAATTACAATGTTATTGCAAATAACATTTCCTATATGCACTACAATTAGTCAAGCTCATATAAAGATTGGACCCTTTGTTATCCTCAACCGCTTCTCAGGAGGAAAAATATTACCGGTATCTTTGTTATTTTTGTGCGTAATTACTCAGGTGTCGTTACGGGATGAGAGCCACGCTCACAGGGTCCCATCTTCTCTTTAATGTTTGTTATATGTCATTTTAAGGTTGCATGTGTGTTTATATGCAAATTTTTACCAAGTTGAATGCCTTGACAGCTTCATTATTCATGCAGTAAACACTAACAATGTTGTTCATCATTCTGGATTTCCAAGAAGATGCATTACAGTACCGTACATGAAGTATAGTACTGTACATATATATAGTATAAGGACAGTCATATAAAAATATAACTTTTCCAAAATCCATATTAAAAAGAACTATTGCATTACTTCAGTCTATATTACATGATACAAGGTAGTCATACTTTTAGTAAACAACTTCCTACGTATATATTAATCATTAGCAAATGTAACCATATACTCAGCGATGAGTCACAATACGTGGCTGAAGTATGTTGACCAGACCACACACTAGTGAAACGACGACGTTTCGGTTCCTACGTCCATATATATACAATCGACTTGAGAATGGTCCAGGACGGACCGAAACGTCGTCGTCCCTTCAATTTCTAGTGTGTGGTCTGGTCAACATAACCATATACTGTACATACTGTACTTATTCTTTAGCTTGTTTCCTTTGTTAAAAATGTTTAAACTTATACTCATCATCTCACTACAGTTGTTAAAAGCAAGTTACAATGGACACAGCAAATCAAATATGAATGATTAGCAAAGGGAAATATAAGCTAACATGAAGGAGAACAGTATCAAGAGAGATTTAGAAAAAAAAACAGAAAATAGTGAAGGTTGGACAACAACAGCAAAGAAAATCGTCGGAGGAAACTATGTGAAAGAGCATTGAGACAAAAGATATAAAAAAGAAAGAAAAAGAGAGAGACGAGAGAGAGAGATAAGGATGAGAGCAATGTTCGTGGTGACCCGTCTTCCCAGTATTCTTTGCCACATGAAGCTTTGAAACTACTGACAGTTTTCACCACCACCTTCTCACTTAACTTGTTTTAATCGTCTACCTCTCCATTTGCAAATGTGAGCTTTCTAGTGTTTTTTGGCAGCTTTGGTTCCTTAGTTTGAACCTGTGTCTGTATAATTACCTAAGCGTAGTTACAGGATGAAAGCTCCACTCAAGGTGTCCCGTTTTCCCAGTACAATACTCTGCTTTATCACGCTTTGAAACTACTGATGGTTTTGGCCTCCAGCATCTTCTCACTTAACTTGTTCCAACCGTCTACCACTGTTTGCAAAAGACTATTCTCTAGGAATAAACCCTGTGGTCCTGTTGTTCCAGAGCCCTATTCCCTGTGGTTTGGCTTTTCCTTTTGGGCATTCAGACAATCATTGTAAACCTTACCCAAAGGTGAGATTAATATTGTCTTATCGTGCCAACAACCTTGTTAGTATTGCCCCCAAGGAAATAATTTTTTAATAAATCTATACTTGTATAAAGTACCTATGTACATTGGCGATAACTGGTATGTTCACTAAGTAATATGTGAATATTTTTTTTTGTTTAGAAAACTATGGGCACCTTGACAGTAGATTCATTTATTTTTATCATAACCTAGGCCCACCTGTCAATTCATGTACTGTACCAGCTATTAATAAATCCAACAACTTAAAACAAAATCCATCATATTCATTCGTTCATTCTGCTTCAGGACCTGATTTCTTGAACTACATGTTTAGTTCATAAAATAGACTATGAAACAATGGATACAAATTCGATTGGTTAAAAAACTGGGTAAATATTGGTCTGGGAGTACGGCAGTAAACTTATGGAATGTTTTACCAGTAAAATTAATGTGAGGTTGCTGGATTGTTTCAAGTGCAAATTAGATATATGCACGAATGGTTGTGCTTGCAGTCAAAGAGTCACAATAACATGGCTGAAGATATGATGACCAAACTACACATCCGAAAATGAAGAAACGTCATCATTTCTTCATTTTCTGATGTGTGATTTGGTCTTCAATGGTTGTGTGTTTATAAGTAATTATTAACATGTCAAGTAGTTGCTTATAAAATAGGAGTTACCTTACATTGACCATTAGACCTTCTGCAGTTCCACTATTCTTATGCTTTTGTGTTATGTACAAATCTGGCACTCACTGTACTATGGAGAATGAGAATGACTCAGGTGGAGTAAGACTCATGCCAGAAGCCCAAACACTGCTAACATAACTTCACTTCACAACATTTAACTATTTTTTAAAAGATTCTAAGAAATTAGTGTATGGATAAGAATGAAGAACTATAAAGCAACATACCTTTAGAGCAGGAAGATTCTGCATTTGCAATTACCATTAGATAACTATAGCAAGTCATATTGGTAATAGACTGGAGATGTATTACCTTGAGGTGCTTCCGGGGCTTAGCGTCCCCGCGGCCCGGTCATCGACCAGGCCTCCTGGTTGCTGGACTGGGAGGCCTGGTCGACGACCGGGCCGCGGGGACGCTAAGCCCCGGAAGCACCTCAAGATAACCTCAAGGTAATACATCTCCAGTCTATTACCAATATGACTTGCTATAGTTATCTAATGGTAATTGCAAATGCAAAATAAAATGCAGAATAAACAAACTTCATGAAGGCCTTTGGTAAATGTGGCCATGTTGATAAGTGTATGAAATGAGGGCTAGTGGTGTAACGTGTAATGTAGGTAGATAGATATTAAGTTTTCTAACAAACAGGACAGGAAGCCCATACTTAGGCTCTTATCGAGGTCATCCTCAGTTGTACTACCAACCTTCATAAGGATGCAACCCACAACAGTTGCTTGACTTCTGGCTACCTGTTTACTGCTAGGTGAACAGATACATCATGTGAAAGCAAACATGTTCAACCATTTCCGTCCCACCCGAGGATGGAATCAGGGATCCTTGATTGCGAGTCGAAAGCGTAGAACACTTTAGTACTGGATATAAAGTTCTTCAGTGGGAAACAGAAAATAGCATTATGCTCAATGGGAATCAAATGTCATGAGCAAAGACAAACAAACTCAATATGGGGACAGATATATGATTCAGTCCAAACCTTTTAAAATGGAGGGAACAGGTATAAAGTCTAGGAATTTTAGTATTGAACATTCTAAGGTTTAGAGTGCACAACAAAGCAAACATAGGCATGAAAAGATAGGATGGAAAATGCAAACTTCCAAAACAATAGTTACCATAACAATAATGATACCTTTAAGGCACCTGGACCCTAATTTAGAATACTCTTCTGCACTCACACCTCTCAACACAGTTGTGATATCCAAGGTAGAAAATATACAGCCGTCTTTTATTGCTTGTATAAAACCAGTAAAGTATCTAAACTAACAGTTCTGCCTTCAAAACTGTAGCATAGAGCTATCTCATAATACATACATGGGAAATACTTGATAGCCAGAGCCCTAATCTGCACACCACAATAAATTAGTATTAAGCTTTAGTCATTAATGTTTTTCATGCCCGAAACGTTTTGCGTAATAGTGGCTTTAGGCACTGTATGTACTAGCTCTGTCTATAAATCCATCAATCTTTGTAAAATCTCTTGTATGTATGTACCTTACCTAAATAAACATTTATTTATTTATTTATTTATTATAAATTACTGCAATGAAATGCAGTACAGTAGTAGGCATTCATAAGTCTCAGGAGACTGGAGTTGCTCTCTGGTTGTCGGTCTGGAGTACAGTATATGTAAGATAAAACAAGTATGAAGAGATACTACAAATACAATTAGAGCACACTTTAGTAAACTTCAGAGCTCTAAGATGTTAATATTCGATACCAATATGTGAAATATTGCTGAAGCCAAAGACTGAAGTCTTTGAGAAAGAACTTGGTAACTTCAGTGGTGCCAAATTTACCAGGGTCTGATGGCCATGTTGGCTTTACTCAGCTGATTGGGCAGTGACCAGAAAACAATTTGCCCTAAAACCAGAATGCAACAGCAGCAAAAGTTTTGAAACTGGTTACAGCTGAACTTTACAATTTGCAAAAACCCAGCATTAAATGTAATGAAATGCCTCTTTCTGGAGGCGCCTCCATGGCTCCTCTAGAAAACCCAACAAATATCTGTCTATATGATCAACCTGTCTATATGATTACCTGATTAACCAGGCTGTGACTCATACGTCAGGCTGCGAGCAGCCGCGTCCAACAGCCTGGTTGATCAGTCCGGCAACCAGGAGGCCTGGTCGACGACCGGGCCGCGGGGACGCTAAGCCCCGGAAGCACCTCAAGGTAACCTCAAGGTATATGTTAATGGTCACTGTAGTACAGCAACATGTATGGACAGGATACCAATACAAAATGGAAAGCAATCCAGTAAATAAGCACACAATGATGAAATTTTGGATGGCATTACAAAATATAGGTAATTTTTATCCCATTTCTAATGCTTGACACCCATTAATCAAAACTTGTTTTTCAATTGGCCTAGCTAATTTTCTAAATATAACATGAAAGTCAAGACTTTTGTAATAATAGTTCTGGTAATATTACACATTAATCTTGAGCTATTATGTGTAATCTATATTTACCCAACAATACAACCTGCAAACTACACTGCATATATAACAAAAATAATTTGTATCTCAATTTGCATACGCAGATGGCTTATCCATCTGCTCTTATGAGATGTGCGTGAGATTCCTGACTTTATATTCCACAGATACCGACTACTAGAAGGTATACAGATGTTACGTATGTACAGTATCGATTCTTGTGCATGTTGGTGACTAGGTGCTTCATCAGTTAATACACTATACCACAAGGAGCAAACATTGCTATGGCTTAAAACTGTTAAATTATAATAAGTTACTTGAAATTTTGTTAAATAAAAACATTAAAAATGTTAAGTATATTCATAACCAACAACAATTTAATTATATCCACAATAACCAACACCACAGCTTGTATAACAATAATCAACATAACATTGGTCCTCATAAAGACACTTTATTACTAAATTCATTCATCGTTCATGACATACACTTTAGGTTGAGAAAATATTCTCAATCCATCTTCAATTTGCGTGAGTTTGGCCTCCAGATCGTGACGCACTTTTTTAACTCTCAGTGTATCTTGGGCCACAGGTAGCATTGACAGCTCCCTCATTACCTCGGCCTCACCTGTAATTGATGACAGTGCAAATCGTATTTGTATTTTAAAAGTTAAACAATTATATGCATGGCAAACCAACAGCATTACATCACCTTAGTTGATGTGTTCTTTATAGCGCTTTCATTTGTTATTTTATATTTGATTTTATAATGCTTGCTAAGGTCTATCTTTTGGGACTCTGAAGCAGCTAGCTATGCCTCCTGGCCTCCATCCTGTTTAGTCAATCATAGAACCACAAATTTCAACACAATAATTACTTCTTCACCATACCCATATACTGTATGTATGTATGTATGTGTATGTATGTATTTTATATATATATATATATATATATATATATATATATATATATATATATATATATATATATATATATATATCTATCTATCTATCTATCTATATATATATATATATATATATATATATATATATATATATATATATATATATATATATATATATATATATATATATATATATCTATATATATATATATATATATATATATATATATATATCTATATATATATATATCTATATATATATATATATATATATATATATATATATATATATATATATATATCTATATATATATCTATATATATATCTATATATATATCTATATATATATCTATATATATATCTATATATATATATATATATATATATATATATATATATATATATATCTATATATATATATATATATATATCTATATATATATCTATATATATATCTATATATATATCTATATATATATATATATATATATATATATATATATCTATATATATATATATATATATATATATATATATATATATATATATATATATATATATATATATATATATATATATATATCTATATATATATATATATCTATATATATATCTATATATATATATATATATATATATATATATATATATATATATATATATATATATATATAGATATATATATAGATATATATATATATAGATATATATACAGTATATATATATATAAAATTATCAGGCTACATAAGCTTCAGAGTCAGTGCCATTCAATATATTGTGCACCAAGTAAAGTTATGAATTTTGATTACATATATTCCTTAAGGAAGCTAAGGAATTTGTGGTGAACAGCTGCCACTATTCACTATAGTAAACACCTTAAGACATGAGTAAAATTTCAGCAAAGCACCTAAAATTACCTGAATTCACTCGAAGGGTCACTAACACTAGTGGCCTCGATAAGGACAGGAAGCTGGGGGCTTGTTAAAGTCCCCAAATATGCCCTGATGATCTCTTCCACTTGGATTTTATAAATAACAGTGTTTTGGCATTTATGGCTTTGGCAGGTAGGCAGTTCCATGGGTTTATAACCTTGTGGGTGAAAGAGCATCTCCTGTTCCCAGTCCTACATTGTCGCTTGTTGAGCTTGAAACTGTTGTTCCTTGTTTGTGCTACATCTGACCTTTTGAAGAAATTGTCTGGATCAACGTCCTCCAATTTGTTCAGTATTATAAAAGTTTCAATGAGATCTGCCATGTCATGCCTGGTTTGCAGTGATGAGGCTCTCAACCATTCCTGATACGAGAGTTGACTTAGATCTAGAATGATTTTTGTGGCCCGGTGTTGCACTTTCTCCAGAGCAGCTATGTCCTTTTGCAGTTGAGGTCTCCGTGCTTGGATACAGTTATCCAAATGGATAAAATATATCCAAATATCCAAATAATACAGCACCAGAGATTTATACAGCTCAATCAATACAGTACCTGCTTTTCCTTAAAGTCAAAGGTACACTCGATTATTAGTATGGGAAATTAGTTTCCCATTAGTATGGGAAACCGCATAATGAACCAAAACCATAGGTACTCCATCTCTTAATTCCTCAAGCCAACTTCAGAAGGGTGTCCATTTTAGAAACTGCCAAAAGAGCTATACTAAGCCATCAAAGGTAAACACTCCAAGGAGATTAATTTCATAAAAGAAATGTATGTAAATAGGAATGCTCGAAAGTGACCAGTCACCCAATGCAGACCAACATTACAAGTTAATTAAGGTACCTGTACTTCAATTATTAGCCTAAAATTTATTATGTAAATCCACATTCAATCAGCAATTATCCTATGCATAACACATTCATTCTGTTAGCTACATTATTTGCCCACACTGCTGCATGTAACACGGAGCTTTGCAATATGTATTTCACCCGATCACCTGACACCATCCATCACGATACATTGATTCTAACATTTTCAATTGTAGATATTTTTGCAAATAAACATTATTATTAATATAATTATTTGTTTAAGCAGCAGATAATGTATCTTTCAGTAGTCCTTCTAAATATATGTTCTGGCCTGAGATGGTAATACTAGACTGTGAAACACATTTGCTACTAATAGATTTTAAGGCGAGTTTAGAATCACAATACAGGATATATATACAAATGTAAATGTGTTTATTAAAAGCATACCAAAAGAAACACTACAATACTATACTTACTTTTCTGAAGAAGATGAAGGGTATTACGGCGCTCGTGGTCAGGTAATGGCGTGTGGCCTGGAGGACAGTCAGGATCAACAGCCCGCTCTAACTCTTTCAAACGTCTCTCTTCCTCTCTGCGAGCCAAGATGTATCTACAGACAAAGTCATCCATGACATTACCAATCTGATGCAGTGAAAGTAATTAATCATCAAAAGAAGGTATCAAGCCCAGAAGACTATTTAGTCACAGAATATTTCAAAATTCCAAGGCATCGTTCAGGATGACAATACGAGAGTAAAAGCTGTAAGATGAGTGATGCCATAGTATCAAGTACTGTAGGATGTATATGACTCAAAGGATCATTTGGAAAGCAAACTTTCCAGTCATCTTGAAACTAAGGTCATTCCATGAGGAAATGAATGATTGTGATGCAGTAAAAGTAAATACTGTAAGCCAGTACAAATATGTTTTGGATCTAACTCATCGACTCAATGAATTCCTCCAGAATGTGAAGGTCTATTTAATCAGTCATAAGCAGAGAGATAGTTGCACCTGTAGCTAAATTGTACTTGGCACATTCTATGGCCACCTGCTGACGGAAAGCTCCAACAGGAAGCAAGACATTTGAGTTACAGATTTAGACAATCTAATTCAACACAGTAATGCATTCTTTTTAACCCAAAGATCACATTTCTCTAAAATGACACTGAAGCTGAACAGTAGGATTGAACACACATCTTTGAACTCCTCAGACACACATACCACTGAAGACTTCAGAGACGCAAGTTTTATCCCATCATGCAAATTCTATATTTTCTGATAATAATGTGGTTGTGATTTTACTGTACATATTTCTGTACTTTTTACTTACCATAAATTATAAAAGTAAAGCAGCAAAAATCATCATATACTGTACAACTTACTTTGGAATTTTGCCCTTTTTGTACGTGGGTGGCGGGTGACCAGGTCGCTGGTGAACATTCTTCAGGGACTGGGATCTTCTGAGCGAAGATTTTGCTGAAGTCTGAGCCTTACTCTGGTCCATCTTCAATTGTTATAATTTTAATGAAAACATTAATTTACATAATATACATTCTATACATTGTCATCATTTGTGTTTAGCATAGAGTGGCATACAATACTCAACTATAAATGGTGGGAGATATCAGACTCTGCCCTTCAGTAGACATGCTAGCTTTCAATTTCAAAATATTAATACACATGAAATACTGTATACACAAAATACTGCCAGCAATCTTTTAAATATATCGAAGTAGCCCCAGTAGCCCCCTGTAACTTGTAAGTGAAAAATGTCTGGCATATTCATAATGCTATGAACAAACTAAACAAAATTTACAAAGACAAAAAAAATCACCAGTAGAAAAATTATGCTGGGAGCTGGAAATGAGGAAAATTATGGAAATGAGGAAAATTATGAGGAAAAGGAAATGAGGAAAATTATGCCTTCAGTACAATTGATTACATCCTAACCTCACAATCAAGGGACCCGGGTTCAATCCACGGGCATGACAGAGATGGTTGGGCATGTTTCATTTCATCTGTTGCCACTGTTCACCTAGCAGTAAATACCCTGTAGGTACATGGGAGTTTGACAGCTGTTATGAGCTGCATCCTGGGAAGGTCAGAAGTGGGCCTAGAGGAGTCTCGAAAAACCTAAATGCAGGCTACCTGTACCCCGACAATGGGAATTATACACAGAGTAATAATACTAACGTGACTGCATCAATAACAAAATCTATAGGAGCCGTGATGAGGATTCGAACCTATGCGATGGGTAGTTCGAACGCACACACCCCAGACAATGTACTGTGTCGTGGCCCGATTGTCTGGGGTGTGTGCATGGGACTACCCCCCCCATAGGTTCGAATCCTCATCACGGCTCCTACGGATTTTCTCAGTGGGAATAATTATAAGTCCATAAATACTGGTAGAAGTAAATAAGAGGTAAAAAAAACTATGCTGCTTAATCTCACCTTTAATAATTTTGGTGAAGAGTTAGTAAATGGTGCATCACGAGCAGCATTAGGCACAGGTGTTGAAGTTCTCATATCTTCAGCTTCACGGCTATCTTTCATATCATCATGAATCATTTCATGGCTATCTTTACTTTCATCATGTACAAAATCTGTTGTATCAAAAGATCTATTGCCAGCATTATCTTGAAAGTCTTCCATGAAGACCCTGTTATCTAGTGACTGGTCAACTGTACTTCCAATACTCGGACTCTCTGGGCGTATGTTCAAATGATACTCTTCCCTTTTTGATTCTTGGAAAGCTGGCTGATGATCAATATTCCTGTCACAACTTGAAGAAATAGTTGTACCACAATTTACATCTCTAGTAGATTCTATCTCAAGAGAAGGAACATTTACATCACCAGCCTCATCACACTGCAATTTATTGTCTGAGTAAAAGCCACTTAAGTCTATTTGATTATGTGAGTTCAATGATGACTGATACACATTTTCTTTATCTCCTCGGCCCAAAGTCTTTTCTAGATTGCTCTTGCTTCTCTGGAAAGCTTCAACATTGGCCATGTAACCTGTATTATTTGGTGACTGAGGTGAGGTGATTCTTCTATTGTAATTATTATTTTTTCTTCTTTCTCGAGTTGTAACAACAGACTGATCTTGATTACAACTTTGAGGTAACAAATTGTGACCCGTATGGGTAAGATTACTATTTGATTTTGATATCCTCTTCCTAATTTGAGGAGATGAAGGATGTGGCAAATTGTTTTTACTGTTATTATTATTTGACTTATTTGATTTAGGGACTACACTTCCAGTTTTGGGAATACTTAAATCTCTGTCAAAGCTTCGAGCACGTACCATCTTTGAACTTACTGGCCTACTAGACACTGCAGGTGATTTAGATTTTACTACAGATCTTTGGGTGTCGATTTCATTTCTTATGCTCCCATCCCCAGATCTGTATAAACTCAGCCTATCTGAATTATCAAGCAACATCTTATGTTGATTTTCAATAGTCTTGTAATGCAAGTTGTAATCTAATTCGCATGATGGCTTCTGATTCTTAATTTTTGACATTAAATTATCCACTCTCATCTTCCTCATTCCCTGGGTTAACTCACTTTCACTAACAAACATCTGATCATTAGCTGATGCTTGTCTCAGTGCTGGGACCACTGGTGTTGGCATGGTTTGGACAAGTTTTGAAGTGATAGGCTTCAGTACAACTGGGCTTCCTGATGCAGGCCTTGGTTGGCAATCCGAGATTTGAGAGTTTGTTTGATGTGTCCGATTGTGATGAGTCGAGTTCTTTGAATAATTTAAAATGTTTTCTCCATTGCATTCATTATTTGAAGTTATGTTATCATCTGATGTAACCAGGCCACCATGCTCTGAGAGGTAGTAATGTGTGGGATGAGTGATTAATGGCTCAATCTGTTCCTCAGTGAGAGAAAAATAGTCTGAATGTGCACTTCCTTCACGCTCGGAATTTTGACTTCTGCTTCGGAGCTTGGCCGATCCATTTCTAATGGGTGCCAAGGCATTCACCTGCAATACAAATCAATCCATCAGTATTGTATAAAGACGTCTGCCAGTTCATATGATTTTCAATAAAACACTTGAAGCATTTTCTTGCAACTATAGTACAGCATTGTATATTAAAATAGCACCTGTTTTAACGAAGATGTACTTGCTGAACTCTCCCTCGTTGCTTTTAATGGCTGGGATCTTTTAATATGGTCTCGTTCCTTACATCGGGCTTGTATTTCATGCAGCCTCCTTACGCTGTCTTGTAAAAAAGTATTTTGAGTTCTACCTGCAAAAAGCAATACTGTACACTGTACATCATAAAACCAGCATTTCATATACACTGAAGTCTCTTTGAAATGGCTCCCTTCCAGTAATGTCTCTAAACCACAGACATCTGGGAACAGTCTGTTGTCTCCAACTAATGGATGAAACACCAATAAAGTAATAGATGAATAACCAATAAAGTATTGGATGAAACACCAATAAAGTACAGTATGCTGCTGAAAGAAAGTTTATCCTATTTAAAATTATGCTGGAGAGTACCAGAATGAATTCCCATGAAAAATAAAAATGATTAAAAATTCATCACAGATTTTTGTCATCATTCCCCCGAGAAAAAAAATACAAAAATGTTTGGAAGTGAGAGTGAAGAGGCCCAAGTGGCTGTCAGCATGGCTTCCCAGTGTTAGTGTTGCTATTAACTAGTAGCACCAATCAATAGCTACATAATAATAGTGTGCTATAAGCCAGTATAAGATCCGTAGGTCAAGTACTACAAGAACTGCAAGAACTACTACAAGTAGTTCTACAACAAGAAGTCCGTACTACAAGAACTGCATCATTTGCATATAGCCTACTGTATTAAATTTATGAAATGGCATTTCCATTTAAGCTGTACCCCCAGAATTAAGGTTACACTGTAATGTACAGTAGCACATAATAAAATTCTATCTTTTGGAAATATATATCACTCAACAGCACAAAACTTGCAATTATGTACTGTAAGCTGAATTAGACTAATTACAAAATATAATTCTATTACCTCGTTCAGCTGGATGTACTGTAGTGCCTTGAATACCAATGGTGAGACTTCCTTGATGACGATCACGAATTTTGCATCCCTCTGGTGATAAACCACGACGCATAATGGGTAAATTCATGGTACCTAGTCATGACGTATTACGTACAGTACCTATAAGGAAATAAGACAATTTTAATGTAACTTTTAAATCGTGTACACTTACAATGCTAAACAACAAAGGATAGATTAGTTAATAATCTATCACCTGTATAATAAAATCATAAGAACATGATGTATTTATGGTTAGATAACAAGGCTGTACGATGAGCAGTGCATGTGTCCAGGGATGTTTGTTCGATCCCATCACATGGCCTCAATATATTCCCATTAGATGATACCTCAGTACAATGTTGCACAGTATATGTATTGAGGGTCTAGTATTACAGTTGACTTCATTCCGACTCACAATTGGGAATTGTGAGTTCGATTCTTGGGTGAGATGAAAAGGCTTGGGCACACTTCCTTTTGCCATTGCTCACCTAACAGTAAATAGGTACCTGGGAGATTGGCAACTATTGTGGGGTTGCATCCTAGGAAGGGTCAATAGTTTGACCTTGAGGGGACCTTGATGCAAGCATAAAATAAATATATATATATATATATATATATATATATATATATATATATATATATATATATATATATATATATATATATATATATATATATATATATATATATATATATATATATATATATATATATATATTACACAGGCTATCTCTCCCTGACAAAATTAATTAATCCTCTATCATCTTATTTGCTCAGTAAACTAAGATCAAGAAACATCATACTGTATCTTTAAAATTTTGTAAATACTATACAGTATGAACATATAAAATATAGTATGTAGAAAATTCAGCTATTTCAGAGTGGAAAAAATTAGTTTCTTCAATATATCAAAACCTTAACCAATATGTGTAGTACAGGAAGCCTGTACATATATACTGTAGGCCTGTATCAAGGGCTACCCAGTCGAACTACCGACCCTTCCCAGATTGCAACCCCAAAACAGTTGCTTTATTCCTTGTTCCTTTATTTAACTATTTACTGCTAGATGAACAGACGCATTAGGTGAAAGGAAACGCGCCCAACCCTTTCTGTCCCGCCCAGGAATTAAACCCGGGATCCTCGATTGTGAGTCGAGAATGAAAATAATTGTAATCCAAGACCGTTCTAATTTATATAATTATGCCCAAACAGCCATGCATAACTAATGTTTTATATAATAAACAATTACTGTACCTATTATATAACTACTTTAACATGTTGACCAGACCACACACTAGAAGGTGAAGGGACGACAACGTTTCGGTCCGTCCTGGACCATTCTCAAGTCGACTTGAGAATGGTTCAGGACGGACCGAAACGTCGTCGTCCCTTCACCTTCTAGTGTGTGGTCTGGTCAACATACTTTAGCCACGTTATGTGACTCATCGCCTACTTTAACATGTCTAAAGATATTATATATTGTATGAAAAATGTATTTTTATTGTTAATCCTGGGAAAGCAGTGCGCGTTCTCGGACATGGCCCGGTTTCCAAGGGTGAGGTCAGCACCTCTAGTCAAGTTGGAGTGGCTGCTTTACAAGTGCTAACTTACCCAGACTATGTGTCCGTCACGTTAGTAGTCTGGTCGCCTTATTTGTTCTAAGCTGGAGCAATAAGTGTGCTGGTAAGACGCCTCTACGGTGCTCTACTACACAGGGGTCTTCCACCTCACTTTGTTTTTGTTTTGATTGTGACTGGGAGAGCATGGTTGTCATGGCAACAGGATGCTAACACTGGAGAAAACGGGAAACTTGAAGGCCACACTATCCCAGCGGCACTCCAGGGTAAACTATCTCAGTGGCACCCCAGGGTAAACTGCCTCAGTGGCACCCCAGGGTAAACTGCCTCAGTGGCACCCCAGGGTAAACTGCCTCAGTGGCACCCCAGGGTAAACTGCCTCAGTGGCACCCCAGGGTAAACTATCTCAGTGGCACCCCAGGGTAAACTGCCTCAGTGGCACCCAGGGTAAACTGCCTCAGTGGCACCCAGGGTAAACTGCCTCAGTGGCACCCCAGGGTAAACTGCCTCAGTGGCACCCCAGGGTATACTGCCTCAGTGGCACCCCAGGGTATACTGCCTCAGTGGCACCCCAGGGTAAACTGCCTCAGTGGCACCCCCAGGGTAAACTGCCTCAGTGGCACCCCAGGGTAAACTGCCTCAGTGGCACCCAGGGTAAACTGCCTCAGTGGCACCCAGGGTAAACTGCCTCAGTGGCACCCCAGGGTAAACTGCCTCAGTGGCACCCCAGGGTAAACCGTCTCAGTGGCACCCCAGGGTAAACCGTCTCAGTGGCACCCCATGGAAGCCTAAGCTACCGGGTAGGCGGCACCAGGGAATCTTTATACGGATACTCCCTCATAGTTATATAATCACACATGATACACATTCATTTACCTTCGAGGAGTCTATCAAAGTATGAAATAGAAAATTTAAAACTACCTCCTGGAGTGAGTACTCAGAGATCAAGATTTATAAAGCATCGTGTGATAAATAATGGCTCATCAAATATGCTTTATAATAATTATTATAACTCATCATGGTTTATGTGTCAAGGAAGAAAATGGAAACGCAAAGAATTTGATGGATAACAAATGCAATAAGAAAATGTTAAGAAATAACCGCAGCCTCTGAAAGAAAGAGAGAACAAATGAGAAAATTCGTAGGAGCCGTAATGAGGATTCAAACCTATGAACTTGGTATTCCCAGTGTGACGAGATCTGGAATAGCGCAGTTACTATCCTGGCAGGTGTTGTTCCAATCGTACATTAATAACAAAAAGGAGAAAACAAAGTAAAATAAAGCTGCTAAATCTTTACAGTGTACGAATATCGGGTGAAAAACCAAGAGAATAAACACTTTAAAATATTTAGTATAACAAATTTTAACAAAAATTACTTTAATCTTTCAGAAAATAATGATAAACCATATATGACAAAAACCCCTTAACCACTTGGCTTAGCACACTCAAAAATAAAATTGTTACTGATACAAAGTGAATGTGTCACATTATACAATGTGTCGCATTCACCTTGGGGACACTAGGGGACACAGGTGGAAATTGAGTGCCCAAATGAGCCACAGAGATATTAGAAAGAATTTTTTTTTAGTGTCAGAGTGGTTGACAAATGGAATGCATTAGGGGGTGATGTGGTGGAGGCTGACTCCATACACAGTTTCAAGTGTAGATATGATAGAGCCCGATAGGCTCAGGAACCTGTACACTAGTTGATTGACGGTTGAGAGGCGGGACCAAAGAGCCTGAACTCAACCCCCGCAAGCACAAATAGATGAGTACAATGTGCTCTGAATGTCACCCGTTCATCAGAACGTCAAGGTAAGGGAAAACTCAAGTGAGCTATGAGAGAGCACCAGATGGTTTCTGATTGACCACGATTGATTGATTGATGAAGATTAAGCCACCCAAAAGGTGGCACGGGCATGAATAGCCCGTAAGTGGTGGCCCTTTTGAGCCATTACCAGTATCAAGAGCTGATACTGGAGATCTGTGGAGGTGCAACTACACCCTGCGTGACGGGAGATGTCTCCCCGTGGATTGACCAGGGATTGATTGATGAAGATTAAGCCACCCAAAAGGTGGCACGGGCATGAATAGCCCGTAAGTGGTGGCCCTTTTGAGCCATTACCAGTATCAAAAGATGATACTGGAGATCTGTGGAGGCGCAACTACACCCTGCGTGACGGGAGATGTCTCCCGGACCAAATGGTGACCAAATGGACCTTGACCAGGGCCTCGGTCAGGGCTTATATTCCGGCGGTGACGTCATACTGGCGCGAAACTGGGACGTAGACGAGGAACCGGCACTGTAAGTGGTAGTTTGCTGATTGTAAATTGGAGCCGGGGAGTCGCAGATACGCGTCTCGTGAAAGGTAGGGTGGTGGGTGGGGGGAGAAGGAGAGACTGGACGATACGTTTTGGCGCGTATTGTTAGCGATTTTTGATGTTGAAGCATATTGATATTGAAGTCGTAAGGAACAGGCAGAATCCTCTGATATGCAGGGGCCAGGCACACGCCCCAGATGCCTGGAAATTTGCAAAGGTACATATAGTGTATTGGGTAGGTACATATAGTGTATTGGGTAGGTACATATAGTGTATTGGGCAGGTACATATAGTGTATTGGGTAGGTACATATAGTGTATTGGGCAGGTACATATATAGTGTATTGGGCAGGTACATATAGTGTACTGGGCAGGTACATATAGTGTATTGGGCAGGTACATATAGTGTATTGGGGCAGGTACATATAGTGTATTGGGGCAGGTACATATAGTGTATTGGGCAGGTACATATAGTGTATTGGGGCAGGTACATATAGTGTATTGGGCAGGTACATATAGTGTATTGGGCAGGTACATATAGTGTATTGGGCAGTTACATATAGTGTATTGGGCAGGTACATATAGTGTATTGGGCAGTTACATATAGTGTATTGGGCAGTTACATATAGTGTATTGGGGCAGGTACATATAGTGTATTGGGCAGGTACATATAGTGTATTGGGGCAGGTACATATAGTGTATTGGGCAGGTACATATAGTGTATTGAGCAGGTACATATGAGGAGAGGCGAGGCTAGAGACGAGATTACCTCAGAGTGTAAGACAACACACACTTAAAAATTAATACAAAAACTCAAGATAAATGATATTTGTTGAATAAATATGATGAATATCAAGTTAATATAAAGTTAACGATTCTTAACAAAGTTACAACTACCGAAAAATATTAATCAGACGCCTTTAAAAAAAAAATCTATAAATACTATGACATTTGCCTATACGAATTTGTTAATCATATTAGCCATTCATATAACTTTACGAACCCGTTTTCTGTCAATACTTCCCGTTTTCCTTAAAATAAGTTCTTGAATTCTTCTCGTTTCAAATGACTTTCTTGACTGTTTAAATATTAACATGAGATTAAAGTTTGTCGGGGGGTTCCTCCGGCAGTCATAAAGAGCACAAGATTCAATAAGAGTCTTCACTACTTTTGTATACATCCCAGATTATGTATAATACAATATTTTATTTACATGGGAGCCTAGAGATGGACCAGAGAAACAGGTGTTGGGTGTGGCATTTGTCTGTGGGGAGAGGGGGAGCCCTTGGGGGTGTATGTTGTGGGGGGAGAGAGAGATCTTGGGGGTGTATGTTGTGTGGGTGAGGGATCTTGGGGGTGTATGTTGTGTGGGTGAGGGAGATCTTGGGGGGTGTATGTTGAAGGGAGAGGGGGAGCCCTTGGGGGTGTATGTTGTGGGGAGAGAGGGATCTTGGGGGTGTATGTTATGGGGAGAGAGAGGGATCTTGGGGGTGTATGTTGTGGTGGAGAGAGAGGGATCTTGGGGGTGTATGTTGTGGAGAGAGAGGCATCTTGGGGGTGTATGTTGTGGGGAGAGAGGGATCTTGGGGGTGTATGTTGTGGGGAGAGAGGGATCTTGGGGGTGTATGTTGTGGGGAGAGAGAGGGATCTTGGGGGTGTATGTTGTGGGGAGAGAGAGGGATCTTGGGGGTGTATGTTGTGGGGAGAGAGAGGGATCTTGGGGGTGTATGTTGTGGGGAGAGAGGCATCTTGGGGGTGTATGTTGTGGTGGAGAGAGAGGGATCTTGGGGGTGTATGTTGTGGGGAGAGAGGGAGATCTTGGGGGTGTATGTTGTGGGGAGAGAGGCATCTTGGGGGTGTATGTTGTGGTGGAGAGAGAGGGATCTTGGGGGTGTATGTTGTGGGGAGAGAGAGGGATCTTGGGGGTGTATGTTGTGGTGAGAGAGGGATCTTGGGGGTGTATGTTGTGGGGGTGAGGGATCTTGGGGGTGTATGTTGTGTGGGTGAGGGATCTTGGGGGTGTATGTTGTGGGGAGGGAGAGAGATCTTGGGGGTTTATGTTGTGGGGAGAGAGAGGGATCTTGGGGGTGTATGTTGTGGGGAGAGAGAGGGATCTTGGGGGTGTATGTTGTGGGGAGAGAGGCATCTTGGGGGACGTGATTGAACTTGAACACGCAGCTAAGTATGCTACTTTAAACTAGACTTATGGTCGCACTCAAGGGTGGGCCTCTCTGCTACCAGGAGTCATCAAGGATTTATACGTGTCTTGTAAATCCCAGAGTTGTCTTGTAAATTTCAAGAGCTGTCTTGTAAACCTCCTTGTCATGTCTTATAAATCCCAGTGTCATGTCTTATAAATCCCAGTGTCACGTCTCAATAAATCCCAGTGTCACGTCTCAATAAATCCCAGTGTCATGTCTTATAAAACCCAGTGTCACGTCTCAATAAATCCCAGTGTCACGTCTCAATAAATCCCAGTGTCATGTCTTATAAATCCCAGTGTCACGTCTCAATAAATCCCAGTGTCATGTCTTATAAATCCCAGTGTCACGTCTCGTAAATCCCAGTGTCACGTCTCGTAAATCCCAGTGTCACGTCTCGTAAATCCCAGTGTCATGTCTTATAAATCCCAGTGTCATGTCTCGTAAATCCGAGTAGTGGCGCCTCCGCCAGCCTGGTCGTCGCGAGCCATCACTCCCACAATACAAAGAGATGCATTTTTATACCGGCACGAGACCTTTAATGTGGGCTCTAGCTCCTGTACCCCACCACCCTGGTGGGTGGGGGTGGCTGGGGGCGCCCCTTACTGTGGGGGGGGAGTGTGTGGGCGGGGGGTCAATGGGGGAGGGGGAGAGAGAGAGAGAGAGAGAGAGAGAGAGAGAGAGAGAGAGAGAGAGAGAGAGAGAGAGAGAGAGAGAGAGAGAGAGAGAGAGAGAGAGAGAGAGAGAGAGAGAGAGAAGAGAGAGAGAGAGAAGAGAGAGAGAGAGAAGAGAGAAGAGAGAGAGAGACAAAACATAGCACAACCACGTAAGGCGGACTCATACATCATGGGGTAAAACGCAGTGACACAGCTTGGCTCAACCTGTACAATGATAGATGGTGAGAAGTGCAGAGTGGTGTAGTGGAGAGGGCAGAGCAGGGCGGGAGTAGTGGAGAGGGCAGAGCAGGGCGGGAGTAGTGGAGAGGGCAGAGCAGGGCGGGAGTAGTGGAGAGGGCAGAGCAGGGCGGGAGTAGTGGAGAGGGCAGAGCAGGGCGGGAGTAGTGGACAGGGCAGAGCAGGGCTGGAACTGTGGTACACGCGAAGACCCTTGTTGGCGCATAAAGAATGGCTAGGGGGTCCCTGGGAGCGGCCACCAGGATACACCCACCTTAAACCTATCCTTCTCCCTCATCCACCCCAACCCTCTCCGCGCCCCGTGCCTCCAGTCCTCCTCTGCAACACCTTATCTGAGTCTCTAATCAACTAGCTTCATTATACCTGGTCGGCCAATCATGAGATGCAAGGAAATGCGCGGAGCGATAATTACTAATCCCTGCCTGGGACTATGGTCGGTGGATGGCCCTCAACCACACAACTGCTCTTCATCCCGATGAATACACCCAGTTAGAGGTGTCCTCTACACCCTTAGGGGACCCAAGTTCCCTTACCGGCCTCAGCCTAAGCTTTCACAAATCATGCATGAATAACAAATAGCCATAAATCTTGAAAAAATGAAGAATGTCCGAGTTGTAACCGGCGTCCATGTAAGTGGAAACCGGGTTGTACTGTGGCGGGAGTGTAGCGGCATCTTGGTAAGTGTGGGGGGAGTGTTGGCCCGGCAGGTCTGGCAGTGGGAGATGAACCCCTGTGATCTCCGTCCCCACATAAGCAACACCAAATTATCGTGCACTGGCCTGCGAGCCTCGTGTTTAACCACAAGTCATCAATAATTGGGCGGGAAAGCTGCGCGCCACAGCTCGGCGTTCGCGCCTTTTTTTTTTTCCCCGGGCAAACTTGATCGATTGGATGACATGTAAGTTTAACCAATGTAATGACTCCAATTAGGGTCTGGGTGGAGGCAGGGAGTGGGCTGTCCTGGTGCTAGAGGGAGGGGAGAAGCAGTGCGCATGTGTGAGGGGGAGAGAGGGGAGACACTGAGGACACCCAGGCGAGGGAAAATCAAAGGGCGAAGAGCAGAGGCCGCGGGCACACGAGCCTGCCGAAGACTGCAGTGGACCGGTGCGCTCTCCCGCCGCTACACGCTACCCTCAACCCCTCGCTCGTAATATCTCCAGTATTGCTACGGGCCTTTCACCATAGTACAGGGAAGAGCCACGAGTGGAAATCTGACCTTACAGATACGGTCATTATAGCGAACCAATAGTCAGAACCTTACACTAACTGTCAGTCAGCTGACTCAGATATCCTGAAGGCCTACACTCGCATCCGGCTACACATTCACACCAACAATTAAGGTAAGGATTTATAGTGAATTTTATTTAAAATAATCGTAAACGGCGATTTATTAAAAAAAAATCGCAATTATTCAACAATTTTTTTTTATAACTACAGCATCTCGCGAGCCAGTTAAGACTGTAGTGACAGTCGTAACTAACCAATAGTGCATATCGCTTTACATATTGTCGAAGGAACTGGACTGTCTATATTTAAGGAAACCTTTGTTTTCCTCGTAGGGGGACACAAATTATAATATTTCACGGGGAAAGTCTAATTTTACTTAGCGACACTTACAATTCCCGTTAAGTCTGACACTAGTAAAACTAGTGAGTTTGGTGGACCTAACTGCGTGCAGAACCCCTTTGTTGGTTTGTTCAGCACACAGGGACCCTTTGAGGCTTTGTTCAACACACACGGACCCCTCGTAGCTCAGATCAGCAAGCAGGGACCCCTCGTAGCTCAGATCAGCAAGCAGGGACCCCTCGTAGCTCAGATCAGCACACAGGGACCCCTCGTAGCTCAGATCAGCACACAGGGACCCCTCGTAGCTCAGACCAGCACACAGAGACCCCTCGTAGCTCAGACCAGCACACAGAGACCCCTCGAAGCTCAGACCAGCACACAGGGACCCCCTCGTAGCTCAGACCAGCACACAGAGACCCCTCGTAGCTCAGACCAGCACACAGGGACCCCTCGTAGCTCAGACCAGCACACAGAGACCCCTCGTAGCTCAGACCAGCACACAGAGACCCCTCGTAGCTCAGACCAGCACACAGAGACCCCTCGTAGCTCAGACCAGCACACAGAGACCCCTCGTAGCTCAGACCAGCACACAGAAACCCTTCGTAGCTCAGACCAGCACAGAGACCCCTCGTAGCTCAGACCAGCACACAGAGACCCCTCGTAGCTCAGACCAGCACAGAGACCCCTCGTAGCTCAGACCAGCACACAGAGACCTCCTCGTAGCTCAGACCAGCACACAGGGACCCCTCGTAGCTCAGACCAGCACACAGAGACCCCTCGTAGCTCAGACCAGCACACAGAGACCCCTCGTAGCTCAGACCAGCACACAGAAACCCTTCGTAGCTCAGACCAGCACAGAGACCCCTCGTAGCTCAGACCAGCACACAGAGACCTCCTCGTAGCTCAGACCAGCACACAGAGACCCCTCGTAGCTCAGACCAGCACCCTACTCACAAATTAGAACCAACACGCAATATGCAAATTATATTTTACAGCTCAATACTACATAAAAAAAATGTCCTTGCTAAAAAAATAAAAGAAAATGGATCGCTTAAGGTCCAGTGTTCAAGGACTTCAAGCAAGTAAAGGTATTGCCTAAATGGCTTCCAGAGAGCACCAGTATTAGACACGCTAGGTGAAGGGGGGGACTTTAGCAAGATACCAGATGACAGCCGGAGAGGTCCCTAGCGGTGGCCCCCACAACAAAGGCGCCAGCACAGAGGTGTATCCACTCCGCAGTATACATATACACCGTGGGTGTATATGTATACTACTATACTTAGTAGTCCTGGACTATGTTCGGGACGAATGTGAGTTTACGTGAGTAGTGAGACAGCTGGAGCCAGATTCACGAAGCACTTACAAACCTGTACATCTTTTCTCAATCTTTGGCGGCTTTGTTTACAATTATTAAACAGTTAATGAGCTCCGAAGCACCAGGAGGCTGTTTATAACAATAACAACAGTTGATTGGCAAGTTTTCACGCTTGTAAACTGTTTAATAAATGTAACCAAAGCCGTCAAAGATTGAGGAAAGATGTACACGTTCGTAAGTACTTGCGTAACTGCTTCGTGAATCTGGCCCCAGGTTCGTAAGTACTTGCGTAACTGCTTCGTGAATCTGGCCCCAGGTTCGTAAGTACTTGCGTAACTGCTTCGTGAATCTGGTGTGGTGGCTTCAATAACCCTTCCAGAGCCTGATGGATCTTTAATAAGCTCAACATCAAGCCCAACCAGTACCGTTCCTGGCCATAGACAGAGTCAAGTGCTCACGCCCATTACCCATTGTAAAACGCATTAAGCTTGCCAGTTCAAGTTCGACAAACACAAATAAAGTCAAATTACGCGTGTTTTTGTGTATATATATAATGCGTGAGTGTAAGTATTGTCCCAAACACGTGACTCAACACGGGACCAAAGAGCTAAAGCTCAACCCCCGGAAGCACAACTAGGTGAGTACACACATCTATCATACCAATGACCTCGTTTCGGTCCGTCCAGGACTTGGTAAGGGTTTAGAACGGACCGAAGATTAAGGGTCCAAGATGGACCGAATTTAAGGGTCCAAGATGGACCGAAGATTAGTGTCCAAGATGGACCGAATTTAAGGGTCCAAGATGGACCGAAGATTAGGGTCCAAGATGGACCGAAGATTAGGGTCCAAGATGGACCGAAGATTAGGGTCCAAGATGGACCGAAGATTAAGGGTCCAAGATGGACCGAAGATTAGGGTCCAAGATGGACCGAAGATTAAGGGTCCAAGATGGACCGAAGATTAGGGTCCAAGATGGACCGAAGACTTGGGTTCAAGATGGACGGAAACGTTCTCACTTTCCTTACATATACACTAAGACCCCCGGTAGCATAGTAGGGTTCGTTCTCGACTCACGATCGAGAATTCTGACTCCTAAATCCCGGGCGGAACACAAATGGTTGGGCGTGCTTCACCTGATGCCTCAGTTCACCCAGGAGTTATTCATCTCCCCCCCCCCGGTGACACTGCGTTAATAACTATTACATGTGTGGGTTGGGGGCTATTTGTTTATGGGATTTTGCATAATACTATATACATGTTGACCAGACCACACACTAGAAGTTGAAGGGACGACGACGTTTCGGTCCGTCCTGGACCATTCTCAAGTTGATTGAGAAGCAACGCTAAGCTACTATATATACATAAAGCTACTATATATACATAAAGCTACTATATATACATAAAGCTACTATATACATAATTATTCGGTTTAAGTGAACTGGTTTAATTCACAACAACGGACAGGCTTCCAAGGAGGTTTAACTCCCTCATAAAGCTCTTAAAGTTTGTATAACTGAAAGGGGAAACAAATGATAATTCTTATTGAAATCTATTGCCTGTATCGGGAGTCGGTCGGCCGAGCGGACAGCACGCGGGACTTGTGGTCCTGGGTTCGAACCCAGGCGCCGGCGAGAAACAATGGGCGGAGTTTTTTGCACCCTATGCCCCTGTTACCTAGCAGTAAATAGGTACCTGGGTGTTAGTCAGCTGTCACGGGCTGCTTCCTGGTGGTGGAGGCCTGGTCGAGGACCCGGCCGCGGGGACACTAAAAAGCCCCGAAATCATCTCAAGATAACCTCAAGATAACCCTAGCCACACAACGTTCAATGAAATCACGCGAATCTATGGCAACGTATCTATGGCAACACTGAGGATACATACACGGCCAGTCAGGAGAGAGAAGCCAAGAGTGGAGGGAGTCCCACGTTGCGGCAACGTTGCGAATCGACGTTACATTAGACGTTAAATCAACGTGAATTCGACGGTGCTCTCGGATAGTGTGCTCACAGGCACACATGCTCTTATACATGCTCTATTACCTTATATAGTGTGCTCTATCATATAGACAGAACACGTCGCTGGAAAACGGTCGTGGGACAGAACACGTCGCTGGAAAACGGTCGCGGGACAGAACACGTCGCTGGAAAACGGTCGTGGGACAGAACACGTCGCTGGAAAACGGTCGCGGGACAGAACACGTCGCTGGAAAACGGTCGTGGGACAGAACACGTCGCTGGAAAACGGTCGTGGGACAGAACACGTCGCTGGAAAACGGTCGTGGGACAGAACACGTCGCTGGAAAACGGTCGTGGGACAGAACACGTCGCTGGAAAACGGTCGTGGGACAGAACACGTCGCTGGAAAACGGTCGTGGGACAGAACACGTCGCTGGAAAACGGTCGTGGGACAGAACACGTCGCTGGAAAACGGTCGTGGGACAGAACACGTCGCTGGAAAACGGTCGTGGGACAGAACACGTCGCTGGAAAACGGTCGTGGGACAGAACACGTCGCTGGAAAACGGTCGCGGGACAGAACACGTCGCTGGAAAACGGTCGCGGGACAGAACACGTCGCTGGAAAACGGTCGCGGGACAGAACACGTCGCTGGAAAACGGTCGCGGGTCAGAACACGTCGCTGGAAAACGGTCGTGGGACAGAACACGTCGCTGGAAAACGGTCGTGGGACAGAACACGTCGCTGGAAAACGGTCGTGGGACAGAACACGTCGCTGGAAAACGGTCGTGGGACAGAACACGTCGCTGGAAAACGGTCGTGGGACAGAACACGTCGCTGGAAAACGGTCGTGGGACAGAACACGTCGCTGGAAAACGGTCGTGGGACAGAACACGTCGCTGGAAAACGGTCGTGGGACAGAACACGTCGCTGGAAAACGGTCGTGGGACAGAACACGTCGCTGGAAAACGGTCGTGGGACAGAACACGTCGCTAAAAAACAGTCGTGGACAGAACACGTCGCTAAAAAACAGTCGTGGACAGAACACGTCGCTTAAAAAACAGTCGTGGACAGAACACGTCGCTTAAAAAACAGTCGTGGGCATGGTTCATCGCTGGAAGACGGTCGTGGAGCAGGACATATCCCAGAAAAACGGTCGTTCAGTGAGCGAAGAAGGCATTACATGACGACAAAATAAGACAGATAGTTTGAAGACGAGAGACGGAAGTCTGCAGCTGTCTTGCTGTGATGAGAGAGAGAGAGAGAGAGAGAGAGACAGAGAGAGAGAGAGAGACAGAGAGAGAGAGACAGAGAGAGAGACAGAGAGAGAGAGAGACAGACAGACAAAAGGCGACATACACGTACAGTGAGAGTGGAGACAGAACATGACAGAGGAACAATGAATGTGGTGCTGGGGGGGACACCCAGGGGCTCCGCGCGCTGCCTCACCCTGCCCTCAATCCACCACAATCCACCAGTATGCCGAGAAGACGCGCCTTAATTGT